AGGTTTGCGGGGACTCGACTTTGTCCGCTGAAGCGAGGAGCGTTTAGTGGGACTTTGCCTACTAGAAGACACAGTCGGTTGCGCAATATCTCCGAACAGGGTTCGTTGCACATTATTCTTAGTAGGAGGCCGTGCATAATTGCTTGGGCCTGCCACTGGATGTGCATTTCCCTTATACACCGCATCAATGAACGTATCTATGCGCTGAAGATCCGCATCATTTATTTCGAGAGAAAGATCGAGAAATGAATCCTCTTCGTCCAGAGGTTTGGGTGCCTTGGCTGCAGGCGGGGGTGGCTTAGGAGGGTTTCGAAGTGGGGGACGATGAGCTGCCTCGATGACGTCCAGTTCGTTCAGGATGGCTGAGTCAATTTCATCGTCAAATCCATAATCGGACGAGCTCATTGTGAGGATGGGAGGAAGAGGAAGGAAGAAACAAACGACCACTAAAGCTCAAGGAAGGTTGAACGCGTGACAGTTTACGAATTTACGCGACGGTCACATGACCCAGCGAAGTGATAAATACATGCAAGTACTTAGCTAAAACCTTTGTAATAAGCAAAGCACCTTTGTGATCAGACTCCAAACCATCGGCGGTGTGTAGAGTCTCGTGTTAGTACATTCCGAATACAATACATTTTTTAAACCCCGCACCTCAATTCAAACACCGCAACTTTTGGACTCTACACACCTAGCCGACTGGCACAACTTGTTGTGGCGTCAAGTTTGCCACTGTTTGAATTCCTTCCGAACGATGGATCAAGCCGTCAGGTACACCGGACAGACGGCACCCTGGAGGTCAATTTGCGTGACGTGACTGATGCAATCCCATTTTGGATTCATTTCTGTTAAGTGTTAACATTTACCATACTCAGAATGTCTCCTCGTCGTTTCGATGTCCCAAGCTTCGCGAACATGAAGCAAACTGTCCAAGAGAAGTTTGGCTTGTCTCCCTGCACCTGGCAGCTTCAGGCAGCTCAATATCAGCTCAACAGCAAGGATGTTATCACGATCTCCCCAACCGGCTCCGGAAAAACATTGACATTTTGGATTCCTCTCCTATTTAACGCAGGTGGGATTATCATTATCGTGACGCCGCTGAATATATTAGGAGAAAAGAATCAAAAGGAGGCAGAGGCATTGGGTTTCCCCGCCATCAATCTGTGTAAAGAGACTGCCTCGGATCAGGCATTCAAGGTATGTAACAAAATTCTGATAATCTCTTCATCATTAATGTTGCGCAGGACATTGAGAAGCTTAAATATCGCGTCATTACGGTCAGCCCAGAACGGTTACTCAGCGACTCACGTTTTCAGGCGTTATGGAAGTCGAAGAAGTTCACTGAGAAGATATTCAATATAACGTTCGACGAAGGGCACTGCATAAGTGAATGGGGCGCGGACTTCAGGCCGCTATACAGTCAGCTGGGGAACATTAGATGGTATTTGCCGGACCATGTATCAGTTCATGTCGTATCGGCAACCATGCCACCTCACATTTTGGCCGATGTCACTTCAACGCTCCGCATCCGCTCACATAATGTTGCGAGGGTCACCAGGTCTAACAACCGTCCGAACATCAGCATTATTGTTGAAGAGATGAAGTTCCCGCGTAATACCATGCATGATCTAACCCGAGTCTTGGATATGAGGCTCGGAGACGTGAATCCACCGCCAAAGTTCATGATCTTCACGAATTCTCGGATTTCGGCAGAGATGACTTGCAACCGCTTGCGGTCAGATGTGCCTGGACATCGGCAGGGAAAGATCGTCTGGTTTCATTCTGGGATGTCGATGGAATTCCGCGTCGATGTGATGAACCAGCTTCAAGCAGGTGAACTGTGGGGAATTTGCTGCACCGACGCAGCGGGAATGGTCAGTGACTATCACATTAGTCTTAATGCGCGCACTAATGTACTCAACTTGAAAAAAAGGGACTCGACCTGCGTGATATTAAAATCATTGTACAATGGGGTTACACTTCCTCACTGTGCGCTCTCATGCAAAGGCTTGGTCGTGGCGCCAGAGATCCCTCGCTAACGGCGGTGGGAATTTATCTTGTTGAGCCAATATACTTTGATACCTACAAAGGGAAGCGCAAGAGGCCCGCGGTTGAGGAAGATAGTCGGCAAAATAAAAAGAAAAAGGGATCAAACTCACGAGCAGGCGTCGAGAATGATAGTAGAGAGGAAGATGTTGACAGTGAGTTTGAGGGAGGTGATGATGGCTTCAGAGATCATGATGGTCATGGGAGAGAGGGCTTACAGGAGGATTTACACGCCGTTGGCTCGGGCTCGTTGCCGTCATCGTCTCGTCCATCAGAAACGACCGTAATCCCATCAGCTCACGTGCAGCTCATCCCCGATAATCTTGATAACACTGCCTGCGAGCGCTTCGCAATGTACGCCTTTATCAACGCGAGGCATCGTGGATTCTGTCGACGTCGGGTGGCTAACGAATACTTCAATAATCCAAAAAGTAAGCAGTTTTTTAAACACAAATTAAATTGACTCACAGCTCTAAATCCAGACCAAGCAGTATGCTGTGAACGATGCAGTGAGGCACCGTCTGGTGACTGCTGTGACATATGTACTCCCGCGCTAATCACATCACACATCCTTCCGCTACAAACCTTTCTGTCAACTCGTGCAAAACCTAAATACAAGTGCAAACCATACGAAATGACCAACAGAGAACGCGATCTACGAGCTGCGCTACTTCAATGGAGAGATTTTAAGATGGTTGAAGAAGATCTCGATGGGGACATTTTTTTCGGCCCGCAGCTTATTATGTCAAACAAAACTCTCAACCGCATTATTGACCTTGCTCACTACGCAAAGCTAACCTCCCCCGCATCATTGCTAGAGCAAACCGGCTGGTGCTATTCCCTAGAATATGGCCAACAAATCATCGAGCTTATCAAGTCATTCTTTCCTCCTCCTCCTCCTCCTCCACCACCACCACCACCACCGTCAGTGCATCCACCACTTCCTGCGCCATTGGCAGTCCTTGGATCCTCGATAACGATAAACCAGCCTCACCCCGCTATACCAATGCCAGCCTCTCACGCACAACCCACAACGTCCACCACTGATATAGCTGGTAGCAGCGCTAAGCAGCGAGCAGCGCGGAAATGCAGAGCATGTGGGAGTAATCTTCACATAGGTACGTGCTCTTGACACTACTTGCCAACCTTAATCAACACACCAATAGCTTCTAATAGACTCTGTCCGAAGTACATCCCGAAACCAAAATCATCTCGCACAAAGAACTCGAACGCAGAGAACGAGCCAGCGGCAGGACCTAGTACTGTAAGGTCAGTCAATAAAATCATCTGCATCTAGTTCAAACGTCCCTGCATCTTCTTCGCTGACTACCTTTTGCTCTTGTATCAGTGCCATACCCACAGCGATTTGATCTGGGATCGAATGTAGCGCACTTCGGCCTTCCTTCTTGGTATGTGGGTTTTTTTGTTTGATTCGCGCTGCCAATTTCTGAATTGTCTTCGTCATGTCAGGTGCAGCGTGTCGGATTGTGCGGTGCTGAAGATGGAATGCGTTTTCCATCGTTACGTGGCAGTTTCGGTATACTTCAATGAGAGGCGATTCTTTGATGATGTGATCCAGTGTGCCGTTTGGACCGCCGCCACGAAATATGACCTGTCAATCATTACTTTTGGTTTCTTGACATCGACCGTTACGTTCGCTAACCTTTGTATACAAATTGTTGCGCTCGACAACCCAGTCAACTGCACGAAAAGCAAATGGCTTGCCGGTTGGGTTGCATAGTAAGTTCATCCGCACTATATTACTGTGTCAAATATATTGATGACCTCTATTCTCAGCAAGACAGAATTCCTCACCTCAAAGCCGCTGGATAATTGAATTGAAGGTTCGTCAGGAACCTTGACATCTGTGACGCATATTTATGCTTTCCAGTAGCTTTGAACATATGAATCCAAGGGAGAAACGATGCTTCGACACGACCGATATCTCCGGTGTTCATGGCTTGACAAAGGTCAACGTACAAGAGCTCGTCACGATTACGCAGGGTCTGGTTCTCAAAACGCTTGTCTCGTTGTAGTGGTGGCTGTTCCCGTGCTGCGTCCAGATCTTGGGTCGTCGCAATGAACTTTTTCACGATGACACGGGACATATTGATTATATCTTCCCAGACTGGCTTTGACGTGGCGAATCTTTCCAATGTCGACCATTCAGTATTTCGGCTCTCTGCTTCAAGACGCCAGCAGTCAAGCATTGATGCCCAGATGTCGTGGTGAACAACATCGTGGACACGCCGAAATCCAGGTTTACTGACCATCTTTCCTGTTTCATCAGGTCGAAGGATCCCAATGTGCTGATAGAGGCTATTCTCATCCTCGCGCCCTTCCTTTGGATGAATGTACGTGCGCCACAATGCATCCGCACACGCCATCTTGTAGTGAAAGAGTCCTGGGAGGAATACAACGTACTGGAGACGATTTTTCGGTGTGTGCTCGATTTTTCGGCTGTTCCGCACGCTGTCGACACGCTCCTTTGTTAATAGGTCTCCATGAACCAGAATTACATGTTCTGTCATGTCAACATCGTGTTCTGCATCGAAGTTGACCTCGCTCTTGTCCCCGATACCTCCCTGGTGAAACAAGTTCTCCAAGACTTCAACGTTTCCGTCTGTGGTAGACTGCTTGATATTCATCGAGCGGCAGGGAATCTGATTGGTCTTGTGTATAGGTATCCTCTGGATGGTTTCAGGCTCATCAAGTTTGTCTGCAAAGTGCTTGAAGTTTTGATTGTGTTGGACAAGGATGGCGCGAATATGCCATGCAAAAGCCTCCTCTCGTCCACTCAGCTGTGTTGGATTCGTTTGCCGATTGTAGGTGTCCTTTTTGTGAAGCATTAAAAAGCTTCTGCTTTCGTTCATCAGCGGGAATAATGATGGTGACGGATTCTTTGGATCAGAGGCCCACAACTTTGCCGAGCTCCGCAACGCCTCCTCGTTACTTTCATCAACACCATATAGTGGAATCACAGTGGCGGATGTTGCACTGACAAAGGAGGAGCGGTTTTCGAGTGTTGGCTGGGCAACGTTGAAGGCGATATCAAAATTGTCGTATGCGAATGCTGCACGGAGCGTGCGGACTTCCCTTTTGATGTCACGGCTGATCTCCTTCGAAATAGATGTCACCATGTTATATATGGTGGACAGGCTGACGGATAGCCCTGCGTGTGCCATGACCTCAATGACCTTCTCAGGGACGCCTGTTGACTTCATGAAAAAGCCCATCCAGCCCTGTAAGCAGTTGCATCTTTCGTTCGTATTTTGCAGGCATATGCTGATTATCACTATTGTTTTCTAGTTACAGTTAGCGGCCGCACTTAGGTACCGGAGATCGAAACTCGCTCACGATGTGTTGTAGCGCTACATTCCTTTCACCCGCACGACGCTGCCGTTTCCTTGGTCGTTTGTCAAACTCCCCATCGTCCTCTTCATCCCCGTCATCATCGTCTTCAAAATGTGGCTCATCTCCACCCAACTCGCCCAAGTCCATCTCATTCTGTGAAGGGGTATCTTCGGGTGCTGGAACGTGGCCAGCAGGGTGCGGCATTTTTCGACGGCGGTATTCTCTGCTGTCGAGTAAAGCTGAGACAAGGTTCCAAACGTTTGGAGCAACTCCTTGCATCGTTACGGCGAGCTGACTCATAAAAGTCGTTTCCAGCTGCTCCACAGTCGCGGAGGTGGCCTTGAAGTGGAGGCCGTGGTGCTCGAGCGATAGCTCAGCAACCTCCTTACACAGCTCTCTGCGTAGTGTTCCTGCTGCCCAGGAAAAAACCGATGTATGTGAGTTCTCATTATCGTATAACTGCGCACAAATGTGAGCTGCGTTCATTGTCAGCGAGTCTTGGCTGGCAGCGTGAGCGGTATATCTGCTGTCCAATATTGCACTGACGAATCCCGCTGCCGACAGGTTGTTTTGCTGCAGGCACCGCAGGACATTCGTCAGTCGAAGTTCGAGGCTCATTCTGGGGGTGCACAGTGGACTCTGGAGTGGTACTGTATTCATTTTGTACTCCTCACCTCATGTTTTGCACGATGTTGTGCATGATTCTGCTGTACTGGTTATTTAGAAATATAATTATATAATATGAATATATATAATATAAATATAATCTAAATATTACCTTGTCACACCTGCCGTTGTACTAATAAGCTTCCCGGTGTACCTGACGGCTTGATCCATCGTTCGGAAGGAATTCAAACAGTGGCAAACTTGACGCCACAACAAGTTGTGCCAGTCGGCTAGGTGTGTAGAGTCCAAAAGTTGCGGTGTTTGAATTGAGGTGCGGGGTTTAAAAAATGTATTGTATTCGGAATGTACTAACACGAGACTCTACACACCGCCGATGGTTTGGAGTCTGCTTTGTGATGGCATTCGACGACCACATTGTAGTAAGAAAAATAAGTACATTGCATTCTACGTCACATGAATCGAAAAATTCGGCTCCTAGGACAGTCTGTGGTGATGAATCGACCAGTATTCATTCCTCGTTTTTGACGCGCAAGGTATATGATCCGCAGCGCACAGTACTAGCCAGCTTGATGATTGACTCAAGAGGTACCCGCTCGGGAAAAAATGTACGTGAGGCCACCTTACACCGTTAAGACCCTCCCAGACCCTCCCCCCCTCCCGTGGAAATTTCCCACGCACAGGGGTATACCAAATTTGGTAAGTTCTGCGGCACCAACAGCGGACGAGTGACGAACAATGATGTATTGCCAAACAACCTAGGCATCGTATATACGACTTTTAGATTTAAAAAACATCACTTTGTCTTCTTCTGAGAGCTGGTGTTGCTCCTGCACATGTCACTGCAGAACCAATCTGCCTCTGGAGCATCAAGCAAACCAACACATTCGAAATGAAACTAGTATCCCAAACGGAACGGAATCAGCCACGGTGATAGAAGCACATCGAAACAAGACATGTACCCATTCATTACAGCTATCAAAGCTGCTTTGGACCATTTCTCCGGACTCCGGCCCTCGACACCAGCAAAATTCATCTTGCAATGGGTCATCAGGCTGAGTGTCTGCATCCGAGTCTGGAATGACACGATTCTTCACTTGAACCGAGCTGACGCGTGCTGCTGAGGGACGAATCTTGATGGTGAGACGAGGTTTTGGCGCAGAAGGTACGTCTTGACTATCACTCGCATCAGACAAACCTCGCAGACGTTTACCAAGTAATATGGCAGATGATGATTGAGCGAGAGATGTTTGTGCTGATTCGGAGTCAGCCACAGACTCAGTGGTGTAGTGGTCCGTTGTCTGTTGTCTGTTCGGGTGCTCATTAGTCTACTCAATCCAGACACGACTCATTCATACTGAAACTCACTGTCGTAATGCCACTCTTGAACTGTGCTCTTCGGAAATGCGCAGCATCGATGTCGCTGTCATTTGCTTTCGTTTCCGAGCCTTCATTTTGAATTTTGTTGATATTTGAGTGCTCTCTTCGTCGTCAATTCTCCACAATTCTTCGAACCGTGCCTTATTCGCTGATGGGTGCAGGATATCGATGTGACGTGACAGCGAGTATTTCCATACTGGAGCAGCATTACTGTCGCAATACGGGCAATGAAGCGGGGTGTTTGTACAAGGCGAGTGCTTTGTTGACTTGCGTGCATTCTTCAACTTGATCTTGAATAGATTCGGGCAGCGCGAGCGACTGATGTCGACAACTTCGGAACCTCCAGCGCCTCTCGCAAGCCGAATCTCGCATAACCCAATGCTGAGACACAAGCCGCAGACATTGTGCTTGTCTCGTAAGTCTTGATCAAATAAAATATGACCCCCCATGTGCTCAATAAGTTTTGGGCCGAGTTCTTCAAATGCAACGGCCGGGCAGCGAAGGCAGCGATAACGCTCATGCAATGTTCCACGAACTTCTCCGTCGACTTCACAAACAAAACATGCAGCCCCTAGTAAGAAGGATGTCAGTCAAATTGAATTTCCGAGTCTGATGAGCCATCCTCACCATTAGCAGAGCGGTAAGGGAATGTTGAGGTCAGTGGAACATTAGGGATGCTTGAAACATCATTCTTGGGGCGTTCAAATAGCAGCAGGGCAAGTCCACGAAGGGTTTCAGTAGAGAAGTGGTACGTGATACAGTAATATACATTTGATGCTCAGACTGGTGTTTGAACCTAACAGGAGCTGTTTTGACACCCCCCAAGGTTACGCAAATAAGGACCTCTGGGGGACCCCCCCCATCCCTGCCTTATGTTCGGCATTTCCCGAGCGGGTACCTCTTGGATTGACTCATTACTGTTTTGTAGATTAGCCTTATATAAATTTTCGAAGATCATGCAGGTCAAGCATTCAGATACTCACAACCTTCACAACCTCCAGATCCCACTCTTTTTTGTATATATTTCATCTTCCTTCTAACTTCAAGTTTTTCTTTCCGAGTGATCTTCAATGTCATCATGTATATATACTTCGATGTCGGCTAAACGCGCTAGTTTGATTTTACTTTCATTCGAAACGTACGTAAGTCGAATCACACGAGGCCTGAGTCTTTTATCAACGCTACAATACTTTATTCAAGAGCCTGATCGAGGCAGCAGGAAAGTTTGTACAGGAGTAAGCATATTGATCAACTCCGCAACGAACTGCATGTCGTACGATCAACTACTGTACCAACGCGAAAGAAACACGACTCACTGTCGCCATGCTTAGTCCATTGGAAGAGGGTTAATGGCAGTACGTGATCGAGCCATAAGCCTATTGGTACAAGGCGCAAAGGTGAGTCGCGGGGTGGATCCAAAGCAAACGACTCATACTCACACCCGTCGAACAAGTAAGGCCTTGACAGCATGTGTCGCCGGACGCGCTGCTCGAGCCACAAACTCCGTTTAAACTTGCGCATGCGCTGACAGACATAGATGATGCCAAAGCCGCAACAACTGCGAGGAGAAATGAGAAACGCATAGCTCGTGCTAGGTTATATGGGATATGTCAATAGGAACAGTTGCTCTGATTCTGCCACTGACAGTCAGTATCAGGAAGACTTGCTTTTATAACTTAGTAGAAAGTGTTTTAGGAAAGTACTCGGCACTTGTATCAAAATGATTCAAGCGCTTGCCAGCAGACTTCATGATGACTTCAGGTTGAAAGTATAGGCAGATTCGAAGGTTGATGGATAAGACAATTCAGACTCCAGAGCATGTGAACTGTAATTGGAGTGTGAACTTAACACAACCGCCAGTACTAAGCTACGTAACGGGTTGGAGACGCACCTTATAGTAGTAGGCAAAGTCCAAAATAGTGTCAGACTTGGTCGCGGTCGACGTGTAAATCACAGTTGAATGCATATAGGCACACAAGCCACAGATGGAATCCGAGTTCTGCTAGCGCTTTAGTGGCATCTGGTCCAGGAAAGTCTTACATACCGATACTGAGGTCACCGTACGGCCAAGCAACGTGGGCCCTTCATGAAACCGGTAAGCATTCGCTACTGCTGACACAAATAACGTAGATACCAAGAACCTCACGTGTGGACCAGACCTGTCACTGGAATCACACGATCATCATTATACCCAGCTGTGGAGTGATGTCAATATTTGCCCCAACCACGATAGGCAGAACTTTGAGTGCTGAATCCGACCATACGCATCGTGAATGAAGACTAAAGAGTGGTACCTACTAGATAGTTGTCCCACTGCGCTGGTAGTCACATCTTAAATTAGAGAGTAGAGAGAGAGTAAAGGTCAGCGCACTTTCCGAAAGACGGGCTGATCCAAAGGGAGGTACTCATTCTGGCGAGCCTGTAAGCTTACGGTTGCAAATTTGTCAAGGCAGTTGTAGCGTGGTGGGCCCTGTCGACTACTAGCGTGATGTTGCAGATTAAGTATCATTGTCCTCCCAATAGTCGATCGGATCGGGGTTTCAAATTATGATTTTAACATGCAAGTACTAATTGGTTACCTTCGCATGAGGATGCCTTGAGGTCTTCTATTGATCAATTGACCGCACGCACTATTACCTACTATTACTGTGCGGTGTTAGATCAGTCTAGGTTGCAAGGGACCAGATGCAAATGCCGCGGTCGTGAAGCGGTATCACAAACCTCATCCTCTGCTGCCCACGAACAGATAATAATCACTACAGGTTTAAACTCTATGGACCTAACTTGTGCTATACTACTTGACAGAGCTACCGTGACTACGTCTCGCGTGAATATTCGTGCACCCGGACCAAACCCGGGACCCCAGCTGAAGTTCACCCTCTACCTCCCATGATCTCGGGGACAATATCAGATCTCATGAATCACTCACAGAGCTACAACCCCTGGTGAACTTAGGTTTAAGCAAGTGGTTTCAGGGACTTGTGCGTGCTCGCTACGATATCAGCGCTTTCTTTTATTTTTGTCGTTTTATTTCCTTCCATTGTGCTTTCGTTGTGTTTCGTTGCAAAGGGTTTGATCTGCAACTGATCATAGATAGATTATTTAGTGCATGTTTACAACTAGACATGGAATTCGAATGCATACCTGTCTCAGACTTTAATACTGTCGTGTGCATGAGGCTCATAAAGCCACCTTTCCCGCAGTTGTAAGATGAGGAGATCACCAGATTCGTGAACTCACTTCGATGTATATGAAACAATATCATCAAGATGACCGCGACAATAAATGGCGCAGCAGACACAAAGATAGACTACAATACACAATGCTTCATTAGCATTACAAACACGTGAGACGCGATCACAAGTACCCATTTGCCGTGGCTGCTGATGTGCTACCACCGACCGGTGTTGTGGAAATCTTGATAAGAAAGCGCTTCACCTGTACCACGGTGAGGTGTTGGGAAGACCTCATATAACATTCCATACATCTAAAGAAGAAGAATCAGTGCATGATATTCAGCTCAATAAATCACCCGCACCGCATTCCTGTATGTATTTGGTCAGCATGTGCGTTTTGTGAGGTCAGAATCAAGTGCGCACTGTGTAAGACTGGAAGCATGTTCATGTTCAGGAATATCTGAGCACCGCAGATGTCGTTCTTTTCGTTGTGAACAAGAAGAGGAAGAGTCTAGTCATCATGGTCGACATAGCCAACGCAAGTTTCCGTCTCCCTATGAGCTACCCACCAGTGCCACGGTGTAATTGACTACCGTACAGGCCCCGGGATCCCAAGGACGGATCCGATCGTGAAATTGCGATGTCTTGTTCATGTTTGACTAGCCAGATGCTGCACCTTGTGCTGAAAGATAAAGGGTATCAAGGAGTGGGTGGGCAATGCCGATTAAAGTGAACATCCGCAAGTCAACAAGCGCACATTCTTTGATGTAGATAAGGGTCGCGTTAATTGCCAGGCGCATGCTAGAGAAGAGCGGACAGCCCATGTAAGCACAAGGGAACAAAATTCGATGCACCTTCTGCTGCCAGTCCAAAAAGGCCATTGAGGAAAGTTCAGCCACCTATCAAAACACCGCGCAGGTTTCAGTATACATTGAAAGACAATCTTCTTCCGATACATTCGGCTATAATCCTCCATGTCGTGGCAACCCGACGGATGCTGCGATATGGGACAGTATACTCGTCTCGGGCCAGATTAAACTCCTGGGCAATGAAAGTTGACAAACCATACATCCAGAAATCGAGCGACCGATCAGACGAAACCTGTGCTAAATCATACGCAAATGCTTGACTCACCATCTACAAGCCAGATCAGTAATCACAGAGAGCTGCCATTGATAGCGACCAAAGCGAAATCCTGCTCATCGGGATAGACTTGAAATATATACCACAGGATCATAATCGTGCTCCACGCAGTCTTCTTGAAGATAACTATTCAACTGATTAAATGAGCAAAAGTCGCCGGCTAGCACATGAAAAAGTGCTCCTAGCTTACTGAAATGACACTTGAGCTTGTAGTTCCTCCCGACGCCGTCAGCACGACTAATTTGAGACAAGATATCTGCATCATTGCTAAGAACGACTTGCTTCTATTCTGTTGCATTGTCAGATTCCTCGTGAGCGGCGGATATGATTCAAAGGATGGTGCTTAGCAACAAGAATATTAGACGAAATTTAAATGCGGGAAATAGAAGCGAGGCCGCTCTATGTCGGACCCAAGACATCGTCGATTCCTCAATGTGCAGATAAGAGTTCAGTTGGTTAGTTACTCAGCGCTCATCAGCAACATGGTTCCACCAAAAGAAACTGTTTGATGTTCTTAGCGTTTCAGAATAGATGAACGTGTCATCGTTTGCGACCAGTGAGTACCTGGAGCATGAAATCAAAGATCACATGTAGTTACCAACTACCTCAAGTCAACGATGAGCTTCCAGTTCTGTTGGTGAAGTTGTGTTGACAGCAGCTACAATGAAGATTAACACACCTTCTTGAATACCTTTCACCAAAAAAGGATCAGATAAGTGATGCTCTAGAAAAATAACAAGGCGAAAATAGATACGCAGAAGCTGTTACAGACCAGCACTGCATACTGAGCGATCGTCTAGCTCCAATAAATGTATGTTTAATATGATCGCGAAAACGCCCGACTGCAAACAAGGTGCAACTGTGCGGAATACTTGTTATCGTGCAGTGGGATGAAAGGTATGTTATCGCCTTGTGGCATATACTCTTCGTGGAAGCTAAAACGGAGGGGTTTCAGCGCGAGTTCGCAGCAGCGGAAAAATACGCTGATCAAGTCGTTTCGTGAAAGTGTGGCGCGTTGTATGGCGTGACAAAAAGATCGTCGGGATCTTTTTACTTCTACATACGACGGGCCCGACTGTCCATCCCGAAGCCCGCAGCTATTAGATTCATGGCGTCATTCTTCACGGGGTGCAAAAGACAAGTTTCAGCGCGGGTCCGTGGTAGAAAATAAAAAGAGGCTGAAAAGACATTTCAAAAAGTGTGGCGCGTTATATCCATGAAGCGACAAAAAGATCGCGTGAGTCTTTTTTCAGAACCATACGATTCGGACCCCATGGTGCCCATATATAATGTAGACGAAATATTATGTAAAATAGTGGGCGACTTACTTGAGCCCTTGGACCGGCCATCATTCCGCATAGAAATTTCATGATGATGATCATGAGTCATTGCCATTACCTTTGACCAACTTTAAGGTATCTGACCCTTGTAATTGCAAGTTGATCAAAGCCGAATGGGATAGCCTGGAGGGGCAGCTAGTGCTAGTGAGCATGTGATAAATTTTAGAAAGAAGGAAGACAAGTTAAATTCAAAAGGTTAGTAGCACAAAGGTTAAATGCTGACTAATATTAGTAGGCGAGCTTCAAGAACGGTCTGGCAGGATTTGTCTGCTACTTACTATGTATGCTACAGCATTGCAATTTGCAGACTCAGTATCATGGCAAGGCGAGAAACGGATTGATACGAATGCACGTGACTCAGACCATCGCTACACCCTTCGTGGAAAGTTCCCTTAGGTTCCCTTGAACGTCCTCTTTGATGCTATCAGGCCCTTGGGAAAATATCGCAAGTGATGGTGATGAGGGGTGTATTGCCGATAAAGAGTGCATTATGATGCAAGAGGAGGAGTGGGAGGTGCTCAAGGTGCGCTCTGAGTCAGAGTTGAAGTACGGAATCAAGAATTGATTGGTGAAGAGCAGTCAATTTTTCCAGACGTATGTATATCTAACGATGCTGGGCCGTTTGGACGTGTGATCAAGCTAGAGATCCCGGTAGAACTGTCACCCGCACGGAGTGTAACCATCGTTCCTTCTACACCACCTCAAAGTCACTCTCACACTACGAGCCCGCTTACTGCGCTCCCGCCTTTCTTGCTCGCGTTGATTCTTCCTCCGGAATATCCGTTACGTGCATCACCCCGTATTACGTCGCTGACGTGCACACATGGTTGGTATCCGAGCAGTGACCTGCAGACTCAGCTCGCTGGAATGTGGGCGCATGATTCGCAAGGGGTTCTCTATACTTGGGTAGCATTCATCAGTGGAGGAGAGTTCCTGGAATCCGGTGACATCACGATAACCAACTCCTCCCCTTTGGTGCTCCTTCCGCTGCTTGAATCGTACGATACACATGTCCAAGATACTGCATTTGCTGAAACATCGTTTCCCTGCGCGATCTGCCTGTCTTCACACAAAGGAAGGCATTGCGTGCGACTTGCGTGCGGTCATGTATTCTGCCGTTCGTGTCTAACAGATTTCTGGGGTTCGTGTATAAGGGAGGGCGATATCGGACGGGTCGGATGTCCTGATGCTGTGTGTGTGAAAGCGGGACAAGAAGCTGGTGAGGTGGATATAGTAAGAGTCGTTGAAGAAGAAGAGGTGGAGAGGTGGAAGTGGCTTCGAGAAAAGAGGGAGTTAGAGCGGGATCCTGGAATGGTGCATTGTCCTGCGTGCCAGACGGCCGTGCCGAGTCCGGAAGAGTCAAACGAAGAGAGTGGATGGGCACGGCTACGTACGTGTCCGAGGTGCGAGTTTGTGTTTTGTGCGTTCTGTAGACGAACATGGCATGGGCCGATCAGCGAGTGTCCGTTGGCAGTGACGGAGTCGTTTGTGACGGAGTATATGAGGTTAGAAGAGGGCGATGCTAGACGCTGTGAGATTGAGAGGAGGTGGGGTAAAAGGAATGTTTTGAGACTTGTTTTAAAGTATGAGGAAGAGAGAATGAACCGTGAGTGGATATCGAGATGCTGTACGAGTTGTCCTGGATGCGGGGTTCGAGTGGAGAAGAGTGCGGGGTGTAATCATGTGAGTAGATTCGAAAGTTCTTGTGAATCCCCCTTACCCCGCAATATACAGATGACTTGCATCAAGTGTAAACAACATTTTTGTTATTTATGCGGTGAAAAGTTACCAGGTTCTGAGCCATACAAGCATTTTAATACCATAGGAAAGAATTGTTTTGAACAGTTATTTGATGTAGTGGTGTACTAGACTAGTCTACCCTAGAGCTAGTCTTCCGTTGGTCTGTGCAGTCCAAGTGACTCTTTGTAATTTTATAAAATTGAAACCCAGCGTGCATTTTTGTCCTCAACGTCGTCAACGTCGTGCAAGCACTCGTCGTCGTCTTCCTCGTCTTCGTTAACGTCCTGTTTAGTTTCTTTTTCCTTTTTCTTCTTTATTTCAGTTCATACCAGTTTAAATCAATATAACAAACAAGTCAACTTGGTAATTCTTTACCCCTCCTATTAAATTTCAGAAACATACATACCCCTCTTACTCCTCTTCCTCTCCCTACACAATGGACATCTACTCAACTTCCTTCACTCATCCACGTCGCACACGCCATATTCACCCAGAGTTTCAAAATTCACTCCCACCAGACCCTGCACCGCCCGAAGATGTAGACAAACTCGCTATACACGCAATGTCAATCCACAACCTACACATTTCTTACTTACCAGCAGATCACGCTCACCGAGCTTCAAATTTTTACATCTCAGGACCCTACCAACAGGTCATGGCTGCTCGTGGTATGTTACTTAAAGACTGTCCAGTCCAAGTCAGTCCTCCTTTTTATTATTATCTCTCTCTCATTCTCATCTTATCTTCCCAATAGCATCGCACAGCTATCAAAGTCGCTCGCGCTGACATCCTAGACGCTCCTTCCTCAAAACCAACCCTCAAACCAGACGTCCGTCGTAAACTGGACGACATCGCAGGCGCTACTCTAGCTCACATCGCAGTAGTAAACTCCCCTCTCACCCTAAGCAGTCGAACTCCCCCAGACGGCGTTAATAGCGCAGGTTGGAGCGGTCTCGAAACAGAACGCGTCTGCGAACTCGTCATCACTGGTCAGGGCGATGCTACGGAATTAGCAAGGGTCCGCTTATTGGTCATGCTAGACGAACTCGTCCGTTAATCCCATTTCTTCAACTTATTCACCTTTACCTGACCTATTAATGCACTTAGAGCGGTCTTCATTCCGAAATGTGCGAGATCGACCAGAAGCTCCACGCGATCGTCGCAGGTCGGAAGAGGCACGTCCTCCAGAGCATCCAGGAGGAGACCGCAACAAACATTTACTTCCCCTCGCCCTTGCAGGCATTGGTCGGTCCTGATATCATTCCAAATACGACATCTACACCTGCAGTCCGTCATCCTCAGAACATCATATGGATTACAGGCGAGTTCTTTGGAGTACAAAGGGCGAGGGATATGTTGTATCAGTTGTCAGTCAACAAGGTCCGTCTCTCATCCAATCCTTGTACCTCTCTGACTTGTCTACAGAGGAAATCTGTCATCTCCCGTGACACCGTTATTGTCCCTCGCAAACTCGACTGGATGGTCCTCGACCGAGCCGAAGACCTCAAGTCTATCATGAGTGACAATGCCACATTTGTCCAATTCCCGCCTATTGGCAGTTCAGCCAGCCTCATCACCGTCTTCGGAGACCACCGTGTGAACGTACAGCGTACAATTCGGTCTATAATGCAACTCGTGCGTCCTCTTCTCTTCTTATTTCATATCATTGAGTACCTCTAGGCCTGCCAATACTATGTCGCCTCCTTCTGGCTCCTACCAATCCAATTCAACGTTCTCCTCCCACCTACGACCCTCAACTCCTCCCAAGTGACCACGCTCCTGAAACAAATCTCACTTACAACTGGTGCGGAAGTTGTATTCAAGAGCATGTGCTTCGAGATGCATGGCCTAGAGTATGAGGTACGCGCTGCGGTGAACATGATTCTAGAATTGGACATCGTCAAGGTGCGCTTTATTTCCCTATTTCGTGCATGTACTCACTCAGTGCAGGCATTCCATCACGAGATTCGTTTCCAAGTCGAGCTAGCCAATGAGCACCGAGAATTCATCTCAGGGAAGAAGAACGGCAAGATCAACAAAATCATGCAGACCACAAATGTCAAGATCAAATTTGAGACATTCAACGATCATAACTTCCTCATTGATGTTTCTGGTAACGATGCTTCCGTACTCACTGGTCTCACTCTCTTACAAGAAGAGCTTCCGGCGGAGATATCCTTCCATGTACCCGAAGCGTATCACAAGCGCATCATCGGCATTGGCGGACGGAATATCCAGCGGATAATGAAAAAGTATGGGGTGTATGTCAAGTTTAGCAATGCAGAAGAGTTTGCTGCTCTGGGAGGGTACAATGACAATGAAGACAATGTGGTGGCGAGGACACCCTCGAAGAACGCTATTAACTTGGAGAACTTGAAGCAGTCGGTGATGGAGATCGTGAATCCAAAGGTGCGTCCGGCTTTACCCATCACCCGTTTGTCCCCTCTTTTCCTTTATCTCTTTTCCATCCCTTCTATATGGCATCTGGGAGGTGGGTGCTGACGAGGCGCAGGACAAGGACTATGTGAACGAGACGCTGTCGATTCCCCGGCGATACCACCGCGCGTTACTTGGCGAGAAGGCGATATTCATACACGACATCGAGACCAAGACCAACTCGCGTGTACGATTCCCTGATAAGGAGACGGCTTCAGATGTTGTGACGATTTTTGGTCCCGAGAGTCAGGTGCAGATTGCTGCTGCGATGTTGCTCGTGCGTGTTTTTTTGCTATGCTGAGTTCGGCGCTGACGTCAAAGCAGGAACACGTCCCCTTCGAAGCAGACATGGCAGTCCCGCCCAACACTGATCTTCCCAAAGTCTGCGCATCCGCCGACTTTATAACCTTTGTGGAGCGCATCAAGCGCGAGTTCCAAGTGGTCATCACCCCGAACGTCAAAGCACCTACGCCGAGCCCCACCAATGGCGCCTCCGCGTCGTCCTCCAGCGCAGTCGCGGTCGGGGATGTGGGCGAGTACTCGTTCAAGTTCCATTGTCAGAGGAGCAATTCGGATTTCTTGCTCGCGGCAAGGGAGCTGTTGGAGCAGTTCTTACTGAACCACAATGTCCATGTGTACCCGTCACCTACGGCACATACGCATAAACGGGGTGATTCGTTTGCGGAGGCGTTTCCGCACTTTGATAGCAAGGTGTTGTCGACTGCGAGGAGGCATGGTGAGCGTCTTTCGCCGTTGTTTTTATTGTTATTTAGATGCTGACAATTATCTTTAGAATCCGTTGAACTTACCCGTTCGGAGATACTAGGCGATCGAAGGTTGAGGATGGCAAATTCATCGCCGGACGTAAAAGCATTGTTTAATGCTCCTGCATACATATACGATCTAGAGGAGCATGAGGACTCTCAATCAGCGTATGGTCCGCCAGGAACGGGCCTTGACTACTGGACACCGCTACCCCCGATCGTAGGTCCCCTATCTCCGATCCCCACACCCTTAATGACACAGACCCAGGGCACGGGGATTGGTACACGACGAAATACCGAAGATGCGCTCAAGCGCGGGTCGGACTCGCTGCTCGAGTCAAAAATTAAGGAACAGATCAGCAAGCCCCGATCGTTGCAGAATCGGGCACAGTCGCTCGACCTCACATATTCGCTCTCGCGCATCACAGAGGCGAGTAATAGGCTGCCGCAGCCTGAGTCACCCACGACGTCGACGGGTGGAGGTACGGGTGGGGATTCCAGTCCGACGAGTGCTACGGCGCCATCGTTCCCGAGTGTGTATGGTCCGCGGTCGTCGGCTGTCATTGGCTCGTCGTCGCAGCGTGCTGCGATGAGTGATGCTGATGTTGTTGATGAGGTTTCGAGGGTGATGTCGAACCTCGGGTTGTAACTGCTGCATCTGTATCGTTTTTTTCTTTCTTTTTGTTTTCTTCTGCTCTCGCTCGCACGCGATCGCAAAATCAGCGTCGGTCTCTCAGGGACTATCCAGGATCTATTCAAAATGTACCAGGAGATCTTCTCTACGTTCCCTTCCCACATCTCGCACTCATCATGACTGATATCACACAACCGAACCCACATTCAATGATGTTGTTTTTTTTTCCTTGTCCTTTCTTATCTACAATCATCGATCTACTTGTTTATCGGTTCCGCTGCTCTGTGTCCTATACGTGGTTGCTGCTCGCTCGCTCCCGGTTCTTTGTACATTATATCGAATGATATTTCTACAGTAGTGGGCTGGTCATATTGTTATCCTTCCACTAATAGAACTATTTAACTTGGTTCTCGGGGGGAACATTGATTATTAGAGCACGATCCATGGTACCTCGTACAAGACGAAATCAAAGAATTCCTGTTCCATCAAGGACTGGTACTCTCCTGCGAACTCGTCGGCTGTGCCGTGTTTCTGGGCACGGCCCGAGGAGCGGGGACTGAGGTAGCTGAGGTGGTTCGTGAGTACTGAAAGGGTCTTCTTGGTGTACTTTGGCTCGGGCTGTGATTTATTGTAAATGGAAGCGAATGAGTCCGAGGTACACAACGCACTCTGATAGCGAAGCCAACGTAATTTGCGGGTAGACCGTACCGAAGCACGCTCTCGACAAATAACCGAAGGATCTTTAGATGCAAGAAGACCTGGAAAGACTCAGAGAAATACGTCCGAGATAATCTTAAAAGTTCGGTCTGTGGAGGCGGTGAGAACAAGGGGGTTGCTGATGGTGATGGCGGGCTCTTACCCAGAGCTCTTTCTCTGTTGTGTCCGCTACCTCTAGGTCTTCTCCTTCTTTGGCTATTTGTTCTTCTGAGTAAATAAACTCGCGGACAATGAACCTGGTGGGGTGTTATTGCGGGTGCGAGTACGGTGGGGTGGACGTACTTGTTTTCACGACATTTCTGGACGAACTGGTCGTGTACGCGTTTGAAGATGACTACGCCGAAGAGGGTGTATTCGCTGTCTGATGCTATGAGTCTTTTAGGAGGTATGTGAGCCTTTGCGCAGAGGTATTGATGGTACATACGATGACGAACGGGGAACGACCATATTAGTCAGTCGCTCGTACTTCAAGTTCCATTCCTTTGCGAGGATTCTGGGGTGAATATTTTATTGCTCAAGTCAACAAGCGTTCATGTAGGAGTACCCACTTTGGTACGGCAACCAGGCATGTTTCCATATATTCTGAGTCCTGGATGACGTCCTCTTTGGATACTAGGCCGACGAGCGATCGTATAGAGAGGTTCCCGCTGTGTTGAGGAGTGGTTAGTGCTGCATGGATGGCTATGTGTTTGAGTTCGTGTTCACGTTTTCTTACGCTGCATCTGAACTAGGGAGCCCTTCACGAGATTGTAGTTGTTTAGTTTGGCCTTCATCACATTGTCTATGGACGCCATTTCCTTGGGCGTAAATGAGTACCTCCCCTGCAGGAACGATGCACGGCAAGTACCTTGTTCAGGACGTCAACCATTTCCCGCAGACTTCGTTGTACCCCGTATCGACTGTCGTTCCATTTCCAACCCCCAAGTACGTAGGAGTCGACGGTGCGCTCATTTACAAGGACATGCTGAGCAAGCTTGGCCGGGTCGTTGTTCAGCAAGTTGCGGAGTGTATCCACAATCTTTGCGACTGTCGCCGTAAAGAACGCGTCTTGTTTTGGCAGCTCCTCTGACAAGGCGATCAGGGAGTCTAATGTCCCTGTCTACACGACGATTCATGAGATGCCTGGTCCTTGCCCCGATGAGTACGAAATGAAGACCTTGAATGAGGGAATGCCAAGTTCTGCTACTCTCGTAGGCTGAGGGAGCTTGTTTGTGATTTCTGGTAGGAGACCCTCGGAATCGCCGTCCTGCGGTACTGCGATCAACCAAGTGCTTTGGTCGGATGGCATGTCGTCCTTTTGGTGAACCGACGGAAACGGTCAGCACCTAATGAGTACCGCCCAATATGGACTTACATGGTGAAATCAAGTGTGGAAATTCAAAAAATTATTCTTTAAATTTCAACTGCCATGTTGCTGGCCTTGCTGACACGGAATGGCGTGAATGCAGCTGGGAAACGCTTTCCGATAGCTTCCTTGACGGTGAAGAGGGCCTTTTCAAGATCAATGTCGACGCCATTGTTGTTATCACCATCGCAGCTGCAGCAACTGCTTCTTTCTGAATCTCCTACTGATAGTGCCACCAAACAGATATCGATCCTGGACTCTAGCTGGTTCATGCCCAATTCGCCGCGGAAGGCCAACGAAGAATTTCAAGAGAAGCGCATCCCTGGTGCACAGTTTTTAGACCTGGATGAGGTGTCCTCTCCCCATGATCTCGGTCTTAAACATATGATTCCGAGTGAACGTCACTTTACCGATGTCTGCGGTATGACCAACTGCCTTGGAGACTGGAATGATATTGCCTAATCCTCTTTTTTTCCACAACAGAGGAATTCGGAATCGACCCCACTTCTCATGTAATTTTGTGCGGTTTCACACTTCTCCCATCAAAGCATACTTTTGAACCATATTATTGCGCAGATATGATACGCATGGAGTATTTTCATCACCACGTGCACTCTTCATGTTTAGAGCGTTTGGCCACGAGAAATCTAGTGTCCTCGACGGAGGTCTGCCACGTTGGGAGGCAGAGGGTTTTCCAATTGAGGCTAAGCCGCCGGTTCGTGCAAGGAAATCCGTTTATCCCACTCCTGTCTTCGATAAGGGAATGATACGGTGTGAGTTGACTTCATGTTCGCTATCCTCCAATGTCGTCCAAGCTTGCGGCCTCCAACAGCCTACGATCAAATGGTGTCAAACTCATTTACGGATCTTCACTCGGACTCAGCCGTCGAGCTTGTTGTTGACGCTCGTTCCCGTGGTCGGTGAGCAGACCTTTACGGACGAAGCTTACGGCTCCTTACGCTCGTAGATTCCTAGGCACAGAGTCAGAACCGCGGGCTGGCTTATCATCCGGTCACATTCCTCATTCGTTTTCCCTGCCATTCACTGCATTCCTGCAAACTCGTACTATTCCTAATTCTTCCGTGCAGTACTCCACCTTCCTATCCCTTCCCGAATTACGGAATGCATTAGTGAGCCACGTAGGCGATCACGCGGAAGCCGTCATCCAAGGCAAGCGACCAATCACCACATCTTGTGGAAGTGGTATGACTGCGGGGGTCCTCTGGTTGGGACTGAAGTTATTGGGTGTCCAAAATGTGGCATTGTATGATGAGGTGAGCCATGATCTACCCGAGATTTTTTGCAGGTTATTAATATTTGCCAGTCTTGGACCGGATATGCGAGCCGGGCATCTAGCAAGATCGAGAAGGCGGCAAACTGAATTTTTCCATTTTTGACCCATGCCACAAATATCGAAGACCTTGAAGTGTGTTCGTATCGAAATCAAGTATATGCCATTGTGCTGGTACGTCATATACATGAACTACTAATGTGGTGCTACATAACTATCTTCTATCCCCATGTTTCCCTGCTATTAGTGTTGACCTAAGGTATACAGTGATTTGCCGAATCCTCTCGGCTAAGAATACATTATTCAATGATGACCCATGCTGTCCGTGGATTAACAACAAAAAATTTCTCAAAATTCCGGATGACGATCTATAACAGTCATTAATCCCTTGATACCTTTGGCTGCTTCAATTTCAACAGGTCTCTGTGCATCAGGCCAGCATGATCGAGCCACCGTGGCTGAATAATGAATCTATAGGAAGGATCGATCTTGTTACTAATTGACACGGAACGGAACACTCACTGTGACCTTGAATTGGTCGCGGCGCTGGTATCTAGGATGCCGAATCTCGCAGTCCCATCTAATGGCGTAGGTTAGCAGCGAATGGAACAAAGATAGAGGATGTGCTAACTTTTCTTCCAGGAGAACATTACCACCCATCTCCTTTGCTGTCGAATACAAACCCTTACGAGCTAGATTGACGAGTCTTCCAGCATCAACACCTCCTTTGCAGGTGAACTCGTCCTTGTGTTCTACCCTAGGACCAACGATTGTTGGTTTCAAATCTGCTAAACATGGGTGTGTGCGCGCAGGCCCGGACGAGCTCTCGACGCGTTCTGTCTCCAGTGCATGACTTGTGGGGCCGTGATGTATCTGTATACCAAAATGATTATGACAGAAGTCGGTTAAGGCGCGGTTGCAGACTCGGACCATGAGAGTTGGTGGAGAAAAGATGTTCTTGATAGTCATAAAGACTGAGAGAAGTGGGAGAGCAGTTATTTGAGTGTTGATAGTTACGGCGCCATTCTGTGACGCGGTTGGATTATATACGTGCCAGTGGCCGAACTGAATTATGGCTGGTTTGGGCCTTTCCGCTTTCCGAGGTGTCCCACTGATGGCAAGAACCCTACCACGAGGGGCCACCAAAATTAAGAGTTTACATTTGCAAATTGCTTGAGGTAATGCACGATGAATCGCTGATACCCCTTAGTCCTCTGGGATCGTCACATCTTGCGAAGACCTTCATTTCTGGATATGGTGCGTCATGTTCCTTACGACCAGCAGGCGTGTAGAGCAAGGATGTACGAATTAGGATGTCAAAGATGTGGTAGGACAGCATGAGGCAGAGAAAAATACACGATGGGATAAATATATGATGGCCTGGACTCTCGGCGGCAGATACAGTTGTGGACAATAAATTACGAAAAAAGATGCTGCGACTCCAAGACGGCCATGAATGGTGGAGGGCGGAACGGTGGCGCTTTGCCTGACACGTATGCTGGTCGTCCTGCATATTGTACCTCTATACGATGTGACTTTCCCTTGCGGTAAAGAGTTAGCGTCCAGCTGTCATTGAAGGTGTAATCAGGCGACTTCTTAATGCCGTATACACTCGAATCACTCACCCTTCCAACAATAACATGTTGTAACTGTTCTTCACAATCTCTTGAAACAACTGTTGCCTGGCGAAAAGCACTGCTCTACAGTAATCAGAACCTTGGGGTGAACGCTTCCCGAGGTCAAAGATGTATGTGCCACACGTGTCCGTATCTGTGACACGCAAGATATCGAGCTCTAGGATGGGGAGTAGCTTGATGCGAAATGATTCACAGGCCCAGAACCAAACCAACGCACCATCGCCATCATCGATCATTGGCACAGGATCGATACACTCGCAACCGACAACCTCCCAAGATTGCTCGTTCTTTCGACAGAACCACTTCATGGCTGCGGCGAAGTAGGTCAACGTAACCCCGATGCCTTTGACAGACGCTCTAACATGAGGAAAACGCTGTTCGGATTGATATAAGACCTTGCTCGGCACTGCCACTCGGTCGGTAAGGGCGCTGACTGCGCGACAGACGGCTAAGCATGAATAAGTCTAGCTGATTTCGTCACGGCCCAGATAAGATCAAATGAGGCCGAGACAAGGCGCTCGAAGCATGATGGGGCTGTCATCACGAGATAGGAACCTTCACTGCACCTAACGGCCCGTGTCTTGGGAGTATTCTTCGAAAGTGTCATGCTGATGAGTGATACTGATATCGGATCCCCGTGCACGAACGTTTGAAGCGTCATTGGAATTTGAATGCGTAGCCGAGGACGGGTGCCCAGTGAATATCCGACCATGCCGCAGGGTTGCGCAAGATCTTCTCGGGCAGTGCTCGGGCATGTGATTCTCATACGAATGAAGCCAGAATTACCAGGGATTACTTTCGACGAGATTGCTTCGATATGAAAATTTCGCATACTGCCGGGAATGAGAGGCACGATAAGGTGATCATGATTATACACCCTGGACAGACACTGGTTTACAGAGAAGAGCACTGGATCCACTTGTTAAGATAGTAGAATCAAACCGCGGAGCTTGGATAAAGGGCTTTTATATAAAGCCTGAGAGTTCAGTCTCGCCGTGTACATAGCAATGAGCTCGCCGACGTTGTTTATATCTGTTAGGTTCGGAGGATGCAGTGGGAGCCTTCAAAATGACCGAGACTTTAAGTACCGCGGTGCTACAGGGTATTACGGTACTTACCTACTATCCACCAACAGGGCCTCATGCATTAAAAATTGCTTCAGAACAGACTCATCTACCTTATCTATTCTCCGATTCCTAGTACCGACTCATACATGAGGCACACCGACAGAGGAAGGCGATCAGGGCAGCGGCAATTTCGTGCTGTTTGACGTTTTCTTCGATAAAACTTATCAGAACCGACATGCTGCACCAGAACGCGGCGACAGGCAAGACATCCTCGTTCTACATTATGCATTTTTTGCTGAGGTATTCTCACACGTTGGAGGGTGCTCTACGCACCTCGGCCTCACTTTTTACGCGGTAAAATGGAGGGAATGATACAGTCATTCGGTATCATGGGCCGGAAGTTCCTGGACCTAATAATCTCGGTGGTCAGTGCTTATATGTGTGATATTCCGATGGTACTAATCAACGGCAACTTCAATATCTATCGCTTGTCGGGAAAATGCAGGATATGCATGCTTATGATCTACAGTGACTTTACGCTAGTGAGCTCTTTGCCGCGGCTCCCGGAACGGGAAATGGCTCCACCATTTGTTTTTGTTCATGGCTCTGCAGCGGTTCAACGATTTACTCTCTTTCGCGTAAGGCAAATACGGCGGTATGCCATCCTGATTAAACGTGGCATATCGGTAATCCTCCATGCTCCACTTCGCCAATCATGCACGCCATCGTGTTGGCACAATCTGCAATACCCGAGGCACACAAAGTAGCCTTATCTTTGCCGAGGCCTACCTGGACAATTTTTTTCCAGTCAGTCGATAAGCCCACAGATACACCACTTGCAACAGCCTTCCTGCAAATTTACGCCCCAATCAGTGTCTACTCGCAGCGGTTGGTGCGGTGCTGACCTCTCCAACTTGATCGTTGTAAACTCCCCGACATCAAGTGTATCCACTCGCATTTGGTTATATTCACCGTGACATTTGAAATATCGGTTTAAGCTCCAGCTTTACATCATCGCCTTCAGCGTCGCATCCGCGCTGCAACTATGATCACTGTCACCGCATGCCAAGGCAGACCCCTTATCGCTCACCTTGGTGTCAAGTAAAGTCGGCGGGATGACATGTGGATGATCGTTTACGTCCTTGAGTTCGTACTATGATGTGTGCCACAACGTGGTCCGTTCATTGGAGTTCTGACTATTGGAGGAGAATACAGAACCATGAATATGTTCGCAAATCTAATCTTGCAGTTCAGAACGAATACTCCCCCTAATTAAGCACCCTGTTCTCGAGTGCCTCTGCCCAGCAATTTTCACGCGGTTCGAAAATTGAGTTGTCTCCAGATCGCGCACTGAATCGCTGAACCCCCTCTGAATCGCGCTGATTTGTCTCTGAATCGTGCACTCCAACTACCACTAATAGATGCGCAGTAAGTAAGTAATAGTAAAATGAACCGGATATTACGATTTAACGCAAATATGTGTACGAGAATCAAGCGAACGCACGCTCCTCATGACAAACTAACTGCCTTCTGAAATGCCGTCCCTCATCGTATCATCATCCCGATCCCAATTCCCAAACATAAACTGCCCACCATTGCTATCCTGACCTGGCTGTCTGCCAACTTATCGACAAACGTAGAAACGCTCCTGCTGAGCAATTTCGTCGCAGGATCAAGGAGGCACAAAGAGAACGAAATTAGTGATGATAAGTGCAGTGGATCAAAGCACTGCTGCTCTGGAACCCTCACGGGGTCTTCGCGCTCGCAAGAGATAGCGACATCCTGGGACAATCGAGATCCCCATTCTGCTTCCCATTTCGCCTTGTTCCATAAAGGTGCGTTGGAAGACAGGGAAACAGTTTCTCGATGGGAGGCGTTTATTCCCTCTACGGCGCACTCGACTTCACGCCAGCGAAGGAAGCGCTCCGCCGCCTCAAATCGTAGTGAAGAAAGCGTCTCTGGTGAGCGAAAAAGGCCATTCCGAAGAGCAGCTGTTGAACGTGGCCTGAATGAAGACATGTGGGGGCGCGAAGGGAAATGTGTATGATCTGGACCACGACGCATGAGTATGACAGGGATATGTGGAGTAAGTAAGTCGATGGGGCCATCTTCAGAAGTAGACGGGCCTGTATAATGCAAAAGTCAGAAGTAGCAGCCACAGTGCATGGAATTGATATTCACCTGAGCTGGATAGGATAATGAGCGCGGTATGCAATGGCGACCACGGTGATGCAATTAAGTTAGCCAGAGCAGCAGATGCCTGACATCGGGGATCAATTAATTCAGATACTGAGTGAAATGGCGACTGGATAACAGGTAATATGGAAGATTTCGTTAACTGGGGGGGAGGTTAACTTGAGTCGAGTCACCACGCATATTATGACGTACATTATCATCGAACTCGTGTCGTGCGATGGATATTATCTCGACATTCTTTGCAGGTTCGAACTTCTCAAGTCCGTGGGCATCTCGATGCTCGATCCAATCTGTGGATGCTCTTAAAATCGAACCGTATTCGAAATCCTCCCATCCACTAATATCCACAACATCTTCGTTGTCGTCCAAGAGTATATTGGATACCAGCTCACGGTCATCAGCACCATTTCCTACGACTAGCAACCTCAGGTCTCCAAGGGTTTTTCCAAAAGGAGTGGGACAACGCAATGGAGCTGGTAGGGTCAGAGACGGTATGATAAGCCCCTGTGTACTAGAATCCCGTGCATAGTGATTAGACTGAGGCTGGAAGCGCGGTGGACTGGCAGCCGCGGAAGAAAAGAAGAATGAAGAGCCGACGGAAGGTAATGAGGATACCGACTCAGAAGGGCTGTTTGGGGAAGTCGCTAGGGCGCTTGACCGTGGTGATGACGGCTGGGAATGTCCTGGGATATTCTCCAATACTTCTTGAGGAACGTGCAAAGTTCGTATTGTCGATATGCTAATTGATGGGTTGGATTCCATGGCTAGTAACTAGAGCCAGAGCTCAGGCTGTAGAAGTACTAGTAATGTTCTCAAGCACTGCTGCTGACGCCACTCTAGAGTACACGTGTTTGGTCTATCTATTACTAGATCACTCATTTTTATTGTCTGAGACAAAAATGGAATTATACAAGATGGAACCAGTGCAACAGCAAAACAACTAGAGTGAAAACAACATATCCTCAATCAAATGTGGTAAAGTTTCACCAATAACTCCTCGTCAATTGAGAATGCCTCCGGGTCCTGGAACTGTGACACCTTCCAAACTCCATGTCCTGCACTTTCTCTTAAGACAACATGCTTGCCTTTGTGATTTCCGCGCAAAACGAGAGCATGATCTTCTACCTCCTCTGGCTGGACAGGCTGAAGGTAGATTGTCGGTACGTGAACCGGAGGGCTCCCTGGCGAATCCAGAGGGTGGAACAGTGCTGTGATCTCAGACAAGGACGCAAAGGCTGAGGAGACATAACCCCTCTTGAGCTCCAAATCTCCGTCGAGCCATCCTGCATCTTCCGAGCCTCGGATCTCCACCACCACTTTTTTGTTCGCGATCAAAGGGTCACGTAGCACCAAACCTATTCCTTGTGTAAATAGAAGGCATTCAATTGTTTTGATCATGCGTACCGAAGTCCGAGTCATGGTCATCTTCATTACCCGAAACACCTGGAGTAGGTGCAGACATTGAACCAGGGTCATTCATAATGCCTGCTGGTGTAGGTGCACCTGTGTAGGCAGCAGGGGTCGGTGCAGATAAGAACCCAGGGGTTGCTGCAGCGGCTGGCGTTGGTGCGTTCTGATTGCTCATAAGTCCGAAATCAGATTGAAGCTCAAGAGGAACTCACCCAAGACGACCAGCTCGAGTCTGCTGGACGTGCAGGCGATGCACTACCACCCCAGCCGCCTGATCCCCACGATGGCTCACTATAGGGATTCGGTGTCCGCGAGGACGCATTCCATGCCGGAGTTTTACCACCATCACCACCACCAGCGTATGGATTCGGCGTCCGTGACGAGGCATTCCATGCGGGGGTTTTGCCGCCATCAGTAACATATGGATTAGGCGTTCGTGACGAGGCGTTCCATGCAGGTGTCTTGCCATCCCCACTGGCAAATGGGTTTGGAGTCCGACCCCCCCAACCAGGGGTACGGCTAGCAGTATATGGATTCGGAGTCCGGCTGGGCACTCCGGCTGGGGGACCCATATTTCGTTGTTGGCCTTGTTGATGGTAGGGCGCACTAAGTGGCTGAAGTTTGCCATCCGGACTGTAATTAGAGGTAAGCAGGAGAAACACCGACAGACAGCAAATGTCTCACAGTCTCCGATACAGCTTTTGTTTTTCGATGGTAATAACTTTATTGCCAGTATTTAGCTCTACGCGCGCCAGGGTACCGTTAATGTCTTTGATGATACCATTGTAACCCTTGTGATTGCCTTTGACGACTGTTATGACTGCGCCAATGTCACGGTCTCGTGGCCCGCGCCCCATTGCACCAGAGCCAACCATGCCACCTTGAGCACCGCCAGCAGCGGTGGGATTCATCTTGCCTAAGTCCATCCCTGGCTTGACGAGGTTACCCTTTGGAGCGAGCGATGATAGGGAGCGACACCGGGTTACGAATACGCCGCCATTTTCGATGATGTCCCTGTTGTGTAGGAAGGCGAAGAATGACTGGTGAATGTGCAACACTCGGCCTTTACGAGCCTATAAAAACGTTGAAACCGCGGGATTGTTAGATGCTACGAGAAGGGACTGACCTCCCCTTCAATCTCCTTGACATTGTCTTGTACACGAAGTTCGTGACCTTCAGAGTCCGTGGCAATGGCACGGTCAGAGTTCCGCCGCATCGAGATTTGGTGAGGTTGCACCAATCGTACTTGACCATTCTGGTCAAGAACACGGAAGGAGTCTCGCTCGGTTTTGAAAATGACACCGACAGTTTGCAAGCTGTACACCAATAATTAGATAAATACATACAGGGATGCCGGGTGATCGGCTTACTCGAGCTGGACCAAGTCGTGCAATTCGTAGTTGCCAACAACGTTGGTTCCAGAACCGACTTCGGCGGCCTCACGCAGATCTTTGGAGAATACGGAAACCTGCGAGGGTATTAATATCAATCAAATAAGAGTTAACGAAACCTCAATTACTTCTTGCATTGACATATCTGATAGGAAAGTCACCACGTTGTCTGTTACCGAGATGACAAGCCCCGTCTCGTCTGCGTTCTGCCCAGTCATTACCTTGACATGGTCACCTGGTTTGAAGCGTTTCCGCACGCTGCGCGCAGGAACATCCACCTTCTGACCATCGATATCAACACCAATAGCTGTGACGGTCACGACATCTTGATTGATCGAATCGACGACACCGTAGACACCAGATTGCTCGCCCTCGAACACCTCGACATGATCACCGGGCTGCAGCACGGCAATGGCAGCTTTCCGTGACGCCTCCGCAATGATCGACAGATCCACCGGATTTTCGTTATCGGCACCATCCTGCCCTCGGCTGAACTTCGTGATCTCGTCCAGTGTCGGGTTGACGTTATCTAGCTGCAGAGCATTAAGCTTGAAGTCCTTCTCGATGAACCCGTCTTTGTATGTGTCATTCTGGAAGACGTAAACCTGGTTCCGCTTTGAGACCTGTTTGCGCCCGTAAACCTTGACGACCTCCTCGTAGTTGAAGAACCGTTGTGGCGGTCGCATCGTCGTCAACCCAGTACTAGCCTTCTTGCGCTTCCGACCGTCAACGTTGGCTTCGTCCCGTGGGTTCAGGTCGATACGCGGAATGAATTTGAGTCCAACGTCCTCGCCGTTCTCCGTGATGTCCATAACCTGTGCAAGATCACCTTGGTACTTGCCACGCTTAATGCGCACCCAGCTTCCGGGAGTCACGGTGAGGTCTTGCTTCTTTATTTGCAGTAAGCTAGCCATTTCCTCGATAGGGACCAGCACAATGCCGCGACTCGGATACACGCCGACAAGACCCTTGCAAGCCTGGTTGACCTGCTGGGCACTCCGAGCTTCGACGTATACCATACCGGGAAGCGAGTCACGTTGGAATGCAGATAGGATCGAGAGAGGCTGAGCGGTATACTCGAGATCAATTGCTTTCCTCATGAGACTAAAGACAATGTCGCGTTCGCGACCAGGCTGCCACGTAATTCAAGCCTCAGTAATCAGGAAGAATCCCCGAGAAACTCACCTTGACTCGAACTTGCCATAAGCTTGCATCATGCACGGATGGCATCAGCAGGCGCTGCGGCACTTCATTCATGTCTCCCGTGTACCGCACTGCTGCTCGACCATAGCGCTCGTGGAGATTCTGAGCAATTTTAGCCAGATCTTGATCATTCAGCTCCCTTTCTCGCCTGTCCAGCCGCGCATTGACCGCTGCGCGTCTATTCACGTCATCTTCATCACCCTCTGGCCCAATATCTGCAATAAACTCATCTAGGATGATGAGTTATGTATGGGAGCGTGAACGAGTTAGCAAAATGACTCATACCTCCACCTGCCTCATCTTCCTCCTCCTCTTCCTCCTCCTCGGTATCGACTTCGGCCTCGACATCAAGGAAACGATTCACAGCACTGCGTCTGTGCCGGTGCTGCGATGGATTAATACACACAGCGGCGCAGGTCAACAAGGGCACGGACCTTTGCGCGCTTTCGCCCACGTTCCCTTCCAGGTTCCTCGTCTTCCTCATCCTCATCATCCTCGTCTTCCTCTTCTTCGTCCTCGTCATCTAATGCGTCATAAATGGATCCTCGAGACTTCTCATTCGCCCTTGGTTGTGACTGCTGCTCATTATCCTCCTCTTCATTTTCCTGTTGAATTGGATCCTGTATGTCGTAGTCATCATCTAGACCGGACATGATGTTGTGGTGAGAAACAAGAGGGAAGTTGCTTGGTCTAGGTTTGCTGGAGTTGCGCTCAAAACATATCTTTCAATGGACGTGGATTAGTCATCCAATATAAATTACATAAGCACAAGCCGGAGTTGAGTTTATGTAAACTTGAATTCAATTGAAATTACGTGGGCCATTGAGATCTGGCCTCGTCAGACGGACACATAAAAGCAGTGCTGAAGCACACTGCTCGAGAAGATGCCGTTTACTACCCTTTCACAGAGCAGAAAGTAGCATCATCGCCATGCTAAGCACTCCTGCAACGATGATTCCTGTTCCAACTTCTACCCCTTTACCAGCACTGCTCTTAGTAGAAGTCGTAGAAGATGATACGTTCGTGCAACCGGACGAGGCGTTAGCCGGCGGAACCGTCAAGTTAGCAGATAAAGTTAAGTCTGCACACTGTCACAATGTTCGTTTCAATAATCATATTCATAAAAAAATAACTGCCTACCTGGTAGAGATTACCGTCACCGCCATTAAAGAGAACCTGGATGGTAACATTCGCGCCATCTTGAATTCCTGACACATTCACTGCTGCAGCAGCAATATCGATAGGGAAACAGTACAATCCCTCCCCGCTTTGCTGGAAGAATGGAACTACAACCTGATAACCAGAGCTAGAATTAAAATCGCTAAAGTTATTTGGGTCTTCATATGTCGAGATGAGGACCTCCGCTGTATTTGTAAATGATCAAACTTCTGCAAAGAAAGGGCAGCTTCCCTTTACCTACCTGTCCACAACGGATGTTCGCTGTTCATGTTGATGATCCCGTTACTAAAGGGGAATACGGTACGGTTATTTACAGCATCGTTGTAACCGTCTACGTAAAATCAGATGAAGCAATTTACACAGACGCCTAGACTATGTTACACTCACCGCAGAACGTTGGTTCTGAGTCTTCGACGAAAGGACCTCGTGGAATAGGATATTGCATCTGGAAGTGGGCTTGTACAGCTGTGGCAAGGACGGCGGCGGCAGCAATGAAGGGGAGAATCATTTTTACGATGATTGAAGAGACTAGACTCGCAAGAAAGAATTCAAAGCCTGCTTCCAGTTTATTCAGCGCTGTCCGCTCCTTCTCGTATTTAAGGTTGAGGTACGAAAAAGTTTTTCACACTTATTTGCTCTTGTTTCCGAACCGGTTCCTAGGCTTTTTGAATCGGTAGCTAGCCCGATGACCCATGCATGGCAGCCCAACGTTATGATAGCTGGTTCAGATTTAAATTTGCCAGGCATCCCAGGACCTAATTCTGGTCTAAGCAATGCTCCATTAGTGATGTCTCCCACTTGAGCTCGTGTTCACTCGCATTTCAGGGTTGAGTTTACATTTCCGGCGACTTAATGTAGGCACTTCTACTCGCATCAGTGTAAGCAGGGGTTCCTCTCGTCTCCATTTTCCTCGCGGTCTTCTCCGAGACAGCACATCACGTTCATGTCATCGTATGCCACCGTGGTCATGCACACTGTCTTTAAAAGGCTGAAATCCCAACGCAGGGTCTATCGTGTTCCTGGTCCATGACAATAATATGCGCCCAGTCGTCGGAACGGCTCTGCACAGGACCCCTGGTAATCCATACTAAGTACTGTCCTCAATTCACCTCAGGAGAGGGCGAAATTCATCGCTAGGGCTGCTCCCAGGCCACTTATAACCTGGGGGGTCTTGGAGGCTTCTCCCAGGTCCACCCCTCCGGCGTAGGATTTTTTCGTCACATGTTGGAAATATTGTCGGCCGAACGGAAATTTAGTACTCGACCGCAGAACATTTATTGTAGACTCGTTAAATCATATTCAGATTAGTTCATAATAACACTGGTTTTCAATCTTTGACTTTGTATCGATCGAAAGACGGGAAGTGACTATCATCATTGAATTTATTGCCATCACCCGGATTTAAGCACTCAAGACTCAGTGGAATCCGATCATGACGAAGACTTCGAAAAGCTTCTACCGAAGAAAGTGAACCTCCGGAGGGGGTCACAAGAATGCCTCCCCAACATCCATCTCCAAACCACCCCCAAACTGTCCACCCCTGGGCCTGACCTAGGCAGTCCTTAATAAGGATTATCGGGGGTCCTCTCTGCACTCACTCAAAATCCGCTATCACTGCACAGATTGGTTGCGTCGTCCAGATATGCATCAAATTCTCCTTCTCTCTTGTCCACTTGGGGGTAGAGACAAACGCGGGTACGTGCAATCACTGCGGTGATGTAGTTCACGACTGGTAACGAAGATCCCACAGGATACTGTCTCGACGCTGATAAGCGCACCCATGAAACCAAAATACTTGTGAAAGACGCATGATGACACTGTAGAAGTCCTGTCGTCAGGCAGCTATTGATCCGATAATACTATAAGCCAGGCGGGAGGAACGCATGATAAGGGACCTGAAAAAGAGGTCTGTTTGTAGAACCCAGGCAGTGTTACAATGAAAACGGGTCTGTATGATCGAGCAGACATGCTAAACCAGTACCTGCTTCTGAGATGCCATCCCACTGGAAGTCCGACTGCCTGTGGGCGACGAACGCATGATCACATAGGATCATGAGTTGATGGATCAGGTTCCCACTGCAACATATTGCATAGTTGACTGTCCGATTACAAATTGAGGTGTCCAAAATTAACATAAAACTAGCAACCATAAAGCTACCCTCACACGAAAGCGACTGATAGCAAAGACCCAGCAAGAAAATCATCAAAACAGTGCTCGCTTTAAACTCGACCTCCATTCAAGCGACCAATTCGCCCGAACAGAACTTCACCCATGGCAAGACCCACAACGATGGATATAATATATGAAGCATTGAACGTCCTGATATTGGCTAAGTTCAACTCTTTGGATGGCATACGTTGCGGGGCTTACATGACGGCCAACATCAAGGCATACGAAAAGAGTGATTGAACAGCCTGGAATATCCCCCGCGTGATATCGTGCATAGGAATGAAGGGAGGTACAAGCCTCTGGCGACTGCGGACTCTCGCTGGGGTGATTGGAAGAGAGGAAGATCCTTCCTCAATCGCATCTATCCTATCAGAGGGGTCTTTGGCTTTATCGTCGACATGTTGAATATCAGTTGAAGTACGCTGGGTTTGCAAGATTAGTGCAAGGGCCCTGATCAAAGCGAATCAGCATTAATCATGCCATGTATGTAAGCATCGCTAACCTTGACCCCCATTGGATTTCCATTTGACGCCGGAATGCTGAAATCCAACGTTCAAGAATACAGAATGCGACTAGCGCAATGCAAGCACCGGCGATTGCACCTTTCGACTCAGGCATCCAAGTCTCAAAAATCAAGTAGTCTCCGCCACTGAAATGTAACCAGGGCGTCATCATCATAGTCATCGTAGTAGCAGTAGTAGAGTTCATATCCATGATGAATTCAAGAATTTAAGGTGACTATACGCAGGAAGTGGGAAGCAAAGAGGTAAATGGTAAGAAGACCAAGTCCTCGGGGAATACCGAGATTAGGTTCTCAGGCTCGGGGCCCGCTAAATTTGGAGAGCAACCCAACGCAAGATTCCATTTTTTCGATGCCTGTCATGAATCCCGGAAGCTGAGCGGTTGGACGGACAATATATGAGATCAAGCAATGACAGTGCCACGTCAACAGGTAGGTCGGATTCGGAGAACAACGCTCACACGTCACGGCCATGGCATTCATGTTACCGCGTGGAACGTACTCGGAGAATGGGTGAGCTGGCGAACCGGTCTGCGTATGGTTCGTCCGATCGGTACGACGTCGGCCGTACAACCGTACTCGGCATGTGCGGGGGAAATGATAACTAACCCGACTGGCGTTGTCCATCACTACAAAGTGCTAATAACAATAAGTACTGAACGCTGGGAATGGAAACATATTCTCACAGTATCTGGTACAATGTACCATGCCACAAGAGTGAGCAAGACCCAGGACCTCGAGAGGAATATCGAAAGAGATGACAACAGGAATATAGATCCTTGTCGCAGGTAACCTGAACCATAGAGACGCGGGGACAAGGACAACTGAGTCAAATTCACCCAAAAAACATCGAACCCGCAAGATGACAGATAGAACGAGTTGTAAGGCAATGGCACGTCACAGTACAAGCTTGTTGAGGATGACACTCCCACTTGTGCTGCGACGTGTCAAGGAAAAAAACCACAACGCTGGTGGTTCCTTTGAGGTGGCTCGCTCCTAAGACCCCACAGGCTCCAAAACTGCTAAAATATAAATATTTATAGCATGAAGGTAGAATTCTGAAGCCCACGGCGCACAGACGGGTATGAGCGATGAAGGCAAGGTGGAGGATGAAGGAATGAAAGAGTGAAGGATAAAAGTGCTGGCAAAGATTGAAAGGAGGATACGGGAAGACTGCGGCATTTCTGCGACAACCAATAGCAAAAAGAGCGGATTGATCACGTGAATATTTTCTATTAATAATACAGCCTGAGCTATCATGCGCTTACGTATGATAGACTTTATGAGCTTAGCGCCTGGTGTTACTCACACCATATAGGAATCAAGGATGCTGCGAACTGCACTTTTCAACACCACCCGCCGTGCAGCACGCCCTACACTACTCGCGCGTCAGGCCGCAAGACCAACCTATCAGATCTTCGCGCGCTACGAGTCGAGCAAAGCTAATGACGCTCTGAAAGCTGCTCGCAAGGCCAAGGACAAGCTCCAGAAGGATTGGCAGGGGCCTGTGCTCACATACGAGCAAGTTAAACCTAGGACCCTCAGTCCCAGTGCAGTACGTCGCACTCTCATATTGTGCCTGTGCCTACCCACTTTTCCACTATCTTTCATAGGACGCCTACCTGATTGACGTGCGTGAGCCCGATGAAGTTATGCAGGGCTCTATTCCGTCCTCTGTGAATCTACCACTCTCGGTACTTGCCAACTCGTTCCACCTTTCGCCTCCGGCTTTTAAGGCGCAGCATGGTTTCGAGAAGCCAGGAAAGCAACAAGAAGTCGTGTTCTACTGTCGTAGTGGAATGAGGAGTGCTAGTGCATGTGATATTGCGAAGAGGAATGGATATGAGAAGTGAGTGATCGCAGACCGGCCATCTTTACTGTGCTTTGATACAACGTGCACTCATGTTTCTTTAGCATTTTTAATTATGAAGGTTCGTGGCTAGACTGGACGTCACGAGAAGGAGGAGGCAAGGGGTCTACTACTTCAAGTTGATGTACTTCCCCACATTTTAATAATGCAACATGCATAATACAGCCCTCGAGAATATTTTTTCTTCCATAGCAGATGAAATGAGTTTAAATTGACCTTCCAATTCTCAACCCTGTATGAATTTTGAGAGCGTGGTCGATGTTTCAAGAAGTTCGAACACCTCATTTTTTATTGCTCGTGGCTGTCTCGTGATCCGACCTTCTTGATCGGAAGTCGTTCTCACGGTTAGTCCGACCCGTGCTGCTTCATGTTTCCCCGCAACCTGCTTCGACGCATTCCAAAAAGCACGAGCTTGTATTGGCAGAATGCAGCTGCGAATAGGATATCGTTGCTAATAAGACATGTCCCATTGACAACGCGGGTTCCGGTGGCGACGCACTTTTACGTGTGCAGACGGACATTGAACACGCCTGCCCCCATGGTCAATGTCAGGTCCGCTCCCTCCTCCTGCCTCCGTTTCTCCATCCTGCTCAAGATGGTCAATCATTTTCATTTACTGCACGCAGTGATCTATCCATAGAGCGGTATCATGCACTTTCCGACGCGACCATGACAACCTTACTCGAGCGGCTCGAGGATTTGCTGGACACAGTAGGAAATGACGCCTATGAAGTAGATTATCATGTAAGTACGCTCTAAGATGCCAGAATTCTGGCCCTGTAGTTGTGCCCTTTACTCACTATCTTTCTTCTGCTGTAGAGCGGCGTCCTGACGCTCAACTTAGGTACCTATGGGACATACGTGATCAATAAGCAACCACCAAACAAGCAAATATGGCTGTCTTCCCCACGCAGGTGGGTCGAATTGTCTGATTGATGATGTTTCACACTGACGTACTTCTTGCTTCGCATGCCTGATTTCGCCGATGAACGTCCACTCATGAAACGCGAATTTGTTAGTGGTCCCAAGCGCTATGATTACGTACCGGAATCAGACGACTGGCGATACGCGCGAGATGGAATAGGGCTTGGCAAGCTGCTGGATGAGGAGATAACGGATATGCTCCGAACTAAAGTCTCCCTGCATCTAGAGGGTGTGTCTACGCAGATACGGGAGTAGACTTGTTACGGATATAGATTGTCATTACGATCTCTTAGTTGCCTATGCATAACGGATAGGACTTCCTCCATTCATGCAGATACAAAGCAAGATCTATCGCTTACGGATGCTTCCATGGATTGACAATGTGATTCCATTGATACTTCATTGCCTACACATAACGGGTAGGAATTGCTCCATCTTTTAAAAGCTGCGGTTTGATTGCGATCTCGGATATCCTGTATTTGCGATGCACGATAGTACAATATGTGATAGTGGTGTAAAAACAATGCGCCCCAGAATGCTCATGTAGATGAAAGTATGTGAACATGCCAAATAAAGTAGGATGTGAGGACGAGAGTGATGAAGACATCTATGATGACAGACTAAACGATGATGGGATCAAAGGTGCCGGTCACGACGGACGGGTGTATGATATGTCTTTGTCCACAGCACCTGATCTGAAGGCTCGATCTTATAGTAAGTTCCGGTGTTGGTTACTGTGGCCTCGCTCCGTGACAGGAGTACTGTAATTAGGGCCTTCTTGAAGTTCCCGTCTCCGCGAGAGGAATACTGATCCCAGTAATCTGTTCGGTATAGTTAGCAACGCCACACGAAAAGAAGAGAAGGCATGATTCGTACTTATTGGTATCCTCGTAGCGTTCTCTCACAGACTTGACTTCGTGAAAATCCAATGGGGTGTGCGCAGCCGATTCAGTATGAGCTTGGGCCGCATGTGGAAGATGGGAATAGAACTCAGGCAAAGGGCATTCCGGCAGTGTTGGTATAAATACTTTGCCGTTGGAGGAAATAGAAGGAGGATGGCGAAGTCCATGAGTAGATTGCCAAAGATTATGTGGATAGGTGGCCATAGGCGGTGAAGGGGCTGAGAAGCCTGCGTGCGGAGGCAAATATAGATGTGACGGTGGTTGCGAGTTCGGTTGGATAAACATAAGCCTGTGCTGGTGGAGAGCATGCATCTCGTGTAGCATAGTATTGGCCTGCTTGTAGTCTGTATAGTCTGGTGATTCCGCGAAGTGACCAGGTTCCGCGTCATCTTCCCCATCTATCCAATCTTCTTCGCCATCGCTATCATCTGCGTGAGGCACTGACAAAGGTAGTTTACCCCAGCCTCTCTGTGCACCGTCTAGTACTGGAGGGTGTATTCTGCGTCTTTTAGTATGCGATTCATGTGAAAATATGTCTGGAGGAATTTCACGGTGTGGTATGGGTCTGATAGGTCGATCGGGAAACGATGGAATCTCATCCAGCGATGGCGGAGGCGTTGCAGGACGTTGCCGTTTGAGCATACTAAGTTATTTTGGCTGCAGGTCAGAATATGGTTGGTTGGTTGAAGGACAAGTGTAGCGTTCTTAAAGCCTCAAGACAACAGTTAGGCGGGGTTTCCATTTCAGGCTGTTTGTGGGAGTAAGTAATTTAGGTTGTGGCTGCAAATCTTTGCTGACTCCACTTCCACAGATCAACACCGACAGCCAGCTCTGACACAATGGCCGACATGGACGTATTTTCTGCGATGGGCATTGTTGGATTCGGCAAGGCTGCCAAAAAGCGAGAGCTTGATCCCAACAGGTTCGACAAAACGAAACGTGAGGAGCTCGTGGTCAGAGTCTCATCGTTTTTCGGTTGCCATTCTCCTCTAATATATTTTATCCGCTCAGCAGCCCAAAGTGGAGACGAAATCCTTGATCCCTGTTTCAGGGCCTTCCACAGTATCTATCCGGGCACAATATCAATCTGACGAAGACTCGGACGACCCCGGGCCTTCCCTTCCGCAACCAAGCCTTTTCAAACAGGATACTGATGGCGTAGGCGATGAAGACAACGAAGATGATGATGCTGTCTCTACTGACGACGAGCCTGAATACGACCCCAGCTCTCTCTCGCTATCGGCCCCCGATTTTCCGATCACCCACGAGGCAACGCTCAAAGAGCACACCAAGGTGATTTCCGCGCTTACAGTGGATCCGAGCGGTGCACGTGTTTTGAGCGGCTCGCATGACTATGATTGTAAGTTGTGGGATTTTGGTGGAATGACGACGCAAACGAGGTCCTTCAAGACGTGGGAGCCTGCAGGCAGTTACTATGTACGTGCGTTGGTTTTGCGACGGGAAGGATGTATTTGACACTCGAAGAAAGGTTAATGATCTCAAGTACTCTAACGATGGCCAGCAGTTCCTCGTAATTTCAGGGACAATTCAGGCTAAGCTGTTTGATCGGGAGGGCGAGGAGAAGTAAGTTTAATCTATCTTGTTGCAGAACAGAATAGCTTGAATGACCTCAGAGCAACGTTCGTCAAGGGTGATATGTATATCAGAGACATGAAGCACACTGCGTACGCCCCGTTCCATATCACTCGTTAGCCTGCCTACTTACGCTACATATTTTGTAGTGGACATGTCGGGGAACTTTCAAGCTGTATGTGGCATCCGAAGGACAAGCAGTATTTTATCACTAGTTCGGCAGACTCGACCATTAGGCAAGCTCTCACGCCGCTATCAACGAACAACTTCTGACATTACGGAATAGAATATGGGATGTCGAGAACAAACGAAAGCAGAAATCTGTTATTGTTGTCAAATCAAAAGAACGTGGTGCACGGACCAAAGTGACAACGTGCGCTTACTCTACCGACGGAACGCTGATTGGAGGCGGTATGTCCTTTTTGATCGCGAAGTGAAGTAATCATTGATGGTTCTCAGCCTGCTTGGATGGCGCACTGCATATGTGGCAGGCATCATCAAATTTTGTGAGACCAAACATGACGATCGAGGGCGCACACACAAAAGGCACAGATGTTGGATCTCTGGTTTTTTCCGTTGATGGGAGAACAGTGCTGACGAGAGGAGGGGACGACACTGTTAAGCGTACGTACGAATGCAGGCTTGTTGACATGCTTGGCTGACGTAGGCACAGTGTGGGATTTACGGGCCTTTAAACGACCACTCGCGTCACATTCGGGGGCTACTACATTGTATCCTGGCACTAATGCTACGTTCAGCCCTGATGAAAAGCATATTCTAACAGGCACTGGAGCCCCCTCAAAAGGAGGTCGAGGGAAATTAACGTTACTCAGCCGAGAGAATCTCAGTGTCGTAAAGGAGATCGACATGGACACGACACCTGTCAAAGTGGTCTGGCACTCCAAGATAAATCAAATTATTACAGGTCTTGCGAACGGTACCATTTCAGTACTGTATTCGCCAGAGACGTCGTTGAATGGTGCAAAACTGTTGCTATCAAAGGGAGCCCCAAAAAGACCGACGATCGAGGACTTGTCGGACGCACTCGCTGCACCAACGATCTTGACGCCACATGCCTTGCCAATGTTCAAAGATGGGGAGGGATTAGTGAAGGGAATGAAGAGGAAGCGGGAAAAGGACCGGATGGACCCGAGGAAGAGCAGGAGGCCGGAGTTGCCGGTTACAGGACCGGGTCGGGGAGGACGGGTTGGTGCGAGTGCAACGCAGCACGTTGTGCAGAACTTGGTGCGGGATACAACACGCGACGAAGATGTGAGTGCTCTTAGTTTTCTTTATGGCGCTTCGCAGCATGAAGTTCTCGCGGATTATTGTGCACTGCTGCGGTGTCATAATCACGTGCTTCCTATCTTCTTTTGTTTGATGGTTTCCAAGGTGGCTGACCGTACGTTTCTTTCTTTCATACTTCTTTTTTAACGACTGTAGCCACGGGAGGCATTACTCAAGTATGCGAAGATGGCAGACGAAGACCCTCAATGGACTTCAGGTAAGCAGCATGTTTCAATAGCCTGGGCTGCGGGGTTGCGGCAAGTGGGAGGGGCCGTAGCGGAGTGTGAAAAGAATTGTTTTGTGTTATTTGTTTTGATCGGTCGGCTGACGTGGCGTTACTTTGGATTTAACCAGCATGGCGACAAAACCAGCCCAAACCCGTATTTGCGAACGTCTCAGAGGACGAGGAGGAAGAGGAGGAAGGATGAGCACCAGACTTATGAAGTTGTGGATATTAGAGCAGGAATTAGTTTCAATTTTATGCTCTATGTGAGATTTGAGGTGTGAGTAATTTTTAGTGGCCCCTGCGCAGGTCAAACCTTAATTCCGTTCGCCTATAAAGACCCAATGGCTGCCTTCCGATTCCCCCAAATCCAAAATCTCCTCTCCTCTGAAAACGTCACGCTGTGTGACGCATTAGTCACGCGCCACCCATGAACGCGACAGAGCACAGCGCGACCAACACCGAACAACGATCGATTCTTTCTATCGCCGTCAACGGTGACAATGTTGTCAATGGTGCACGCGATCCCTAACTTAATTACTTATCTCCAGCTAACTTGAAAATGTATAACAAATTCTGTAGACCTGAAACTTGACCAAATGACTTCAGACTCTAATAATCCTTCTCTAAAGTCTGAAATCATCGACAAGCTCTCAACTTGTGTAGAAATTTCCACTCCACTTGATCCAGGTTAGTTCTTTTTCCTATTGCTTGTTTTCTTTGTTCTTATCGGAACAGCTTCCATCCCCATTCACCCTCCGAGCGGAACACCAAGACCAATGGAGGGCCAGTTGTTGGATGATGTAAAGATGGCAGAGGAGACAATAGTTGATGATTCGGATGAAGTCCCTACAACTAATGGCGTACACACCGCTGACGCCGATGGAGATGTCCACATGGACCAGTCTCCCCCTACCACCAACGGTCACTCCAATGATACACCATCCCATTTCTCACCAGCTCCTGTGGACTCTGCTGGCCCACCGACATCGCGTGCTACTTCCAATTTCGATTCTCCTCAGCAGCGCTCGGACGCCGTCGATGATGATGAAGCCAAACCACCCCCAGCTAAGCGCGCGCGTAAATATTCAGACGCCGATCAGGCATCCATTGCCAATGTAAGCATTCTTTTGTTGTGCGCCGTACAGGCGTGCTAATCCCTTTCTTTTTCCCGACCCTGAAGACTGGTTCTCCCCCTCCTATTACAGCATCCTCTGTACAAACAAATGGTGACACCGTTGTATCAAGTTCAATCCCAGCGTCTACACCAACGGGCAACGGCATATCGACCCTCAGCCCCGTGCAACACAGATTTTGTCTGTCCACGATACGTTCGCTTAAGAAGCTCAAAGATGCTTCTGCATTTGTGCATCCCGTGGACCCCGTCGCTCTTAATATTCCCCATTACCCGACCATAATTAAGACCCCAATGGACCTGAGCACCATCGAGCGCAAGCTCATGTCATCTAATCCCGCTAAGCCAGAGACCAATCCCAACATTCCACGCTATTACAGCGCGGAGGAGTTCGTATCTGACGTGCGGCTGGTGTTCAGCAATTGCATCACGTTCAATGGCCCGGACCATGTGATTGCTCAGGCAGGCAAACACGTCGAGGCTGTCTTTGATAAGCAGATCAAGCAGCTTCCACCTCCGGCCGAGGTATGTCATTTGTTGATGTATGCTGTGTGCGCGACTTATTGTTGCAGCCGAAGCCTCCTATTGTCAAGAAAGTTGCCACGCCTCCACCCCCCCCTCCACCAGCTCCCCCCAAGAAAGCCGCGGCAGCACCTGTTCGTCGTCCTTCAACCTCCGTTCCTGTCATTCGGCGCAACGAGGCCGAACAGGCATCTGCACGGCCGAAACGTGAAATTCATCCTCCTCCTCCCAAAGACCTACCATATGCCGATGTGCCAAAAAAGATGCGCAAGGTCAAGGTGCCTAAGGACGATGGCACAGGGGAACAGCTCAAATATTGTGGAAGGATCTTGAGTGACCTCCAGCGAAAGCAGCATCAAACGATTGCTGCTCCGTTCTATGAGCCTGTTGGTATGTCCAAAGTCAGTTTCATACCTTGCGATGAGATCACTTATGAATTTATACAGATGCTATAAAGCTTGATATTCCGACGTATTATAGAGTCATCAAGAAACCCATGGACATGTCAACCATGCGGAAGAAGCTAGAGGCCGGGGAGTATCCCAATGCCTCGAAGTTCTTTGATGACTTCAAACTCATGATCCGCAACTGTTTCTTGTTCAACCCCGCCGGAACACCTGTCAATCAAGCAGGGATCGAGTTGCAGCGGTTGTTTGACGAGAAGTGGAAGAATCTACCGCCCCTTCGGGATGCAAGTGATGATGAAGAGGAGGAGGAAGAAGATGAGGAGTCGGAGGAAGAACGTAATCGTGGGTGGACCTCGCATGCAACATGTTCATCCGCTAATGTACTCTATACACAGGCAGGATCGCCGCCATGGAGGCTCAAATTGAGTCTATGCGCGGTAATCTCATGGCTCTGAAGGCCAAGCCGGCTAAGGAGAAGAAGAAAAAGGAGAAGAAAGAGAAGGCTCCTGTCGCTTCTACCTCAAAGGCTGCTGCTTCGCGCGCGCCCAAGGCAGCACCTGCTACCAACGGGAACAAGCGTAAGACCACGACAAAGAAACCTATGGCGGAGGACGATGCGCTGTCGTTTGAGCAGAAGAAGGACTTGAGTGAGGCTATTACCAGTCTCGATGGGGTCAAGCTTGAGAAGGTCATCCAAATCATTCATGAGGGCGTTCCCGAAATTCGTGATGTGAGTCAATCGGGAGATATGTACTATCATATTGATAAACAACTCAAGCAGAGTACCGAGGAGATCGAACTTGAGATCGATATACTACCACCACATGTTCTCACAAAGTTATACAACTTTGTGCTTCGACCTCTACGGCAACCAACGCAGAAACGGAATCGAACTGGCAAGGGCACGGGTACTGGTGGCCTTAAACGGAAGAGCATGGACGAGACTGCTGAAGCTGAAAAGATTCGCAAGCTGGAGGAGCGGATGCGACTCTTCGACGATAACAACTTTGCCACACCCAACGCTACACCTGCGCTAGCTCATCAGAACGATAGCGATCATTCATCGGACTCCTCTTCAGACGACAGCTCGGGCAGCGAGTCGGAGTAACTCGTCTTTACTACCTTGCGACGTCGCTCATCGTATGCGGCTGATATTTTTTGCGCGGCTTTGTCGGGTTGTTGGTAGAGTTTTCTTCTTCACCCCCCGCTTATTGTTCTCCTTTAATTGCGACTGTCGTCTTGATCTTTATAACATTCAGAATTTGTGCTACTCTCCATCTCTTCGCTCTCTCGCAAGCAAACGTACATACATACACCACCAAAATTAAAGAACAGCAATGTAGTTAGTTAATTCTAGTCGTGACTGATGGTCGTCACAATTACAGACCGTGCCTGCTCGATACCAACTCGATACCTTGACTTAGTTTGATTCCACGTACTCAAGATGACTCCAATGCCATTGGAGTACACATGCAGTCTTCCCATGGCGTAAAATAGATCTCGTTCAGTTCCGCACTATGCGCTTCGCTGGCTAGGCTCGAAATCCTCTTCGCCGGTGACCGAGGCTCATCACCGCAGCGAATAGCCGCCAATCTTGATTCCTCATACCCACGCAGCCGCTCGGGCCCGCAGCTGCTGATAACTGGCAATACTAAGCGGTCGCATGTCTCTTGCAGACCACTGAATTGAAGGTCCATCCTGGTGATTTCATTCCCGTCTTGAAGTTTCAAATTGATCTCTTCCCGTTGTCTCATATTTGAGAGCCATGCCAGTGCAACCTACGATGAAACGGAGCGAAAACGGAGCGAGAACCCACGTATGAGCAACAGGGACGCAATCATCTGGCCCATATGCCGCGGCCATCGCAGCAGGAGTCAGCATCCGACGTTCAAGGCTCAATTGTCATCGAACAGTGTCTCAACTCGACTTAAACCAGCTACCAAGGCCCTAGCTGATAGACTAGGGCTAGACTCCCAAGAAGTTCATCGTGGATCCAGAGTGGACATCTTCTAAATGTTCTTTAACTTAAGTACTCAAAGCTCATGCTAAAGAGCGCTAACGTACGGCATCAGAACTTCAGCCATATATCGTTCTTCCGCCGCCATGCGGGCACCTGTTCTTGATCGCCGGATATCTTTGCCAGAGTATCTTTTACTCTATAAGTACCTTGAGTTGACAACTTTAGACCTCCCTACCAGCGCGCACTGCCATGTTTCTGAGAACGCTTATCCCAGTCGGAATTGCATTATTAGTTGGCGTATGCATTATTCACACTGTATCTGTTAATCTCGACACTACAGAAGCAGGGTTCATCGACACTCAGTCCAAGGCTAATCCATCTGTGATTCGCTATGTTAAAAACTCGGAAATCTGCGAAACAACTCCAAATGTTACACAGATTTCAGGGTACATTGACGTTGGGACGAACATGTCCATGGTATGTTTCCGTGCACCATGCTCTAGATGTAGACTGACTCAAAACACAGTGGTTCTGGTTCTTCGAGTCTAGAAACTCACCCGAAACAGCCCCATTTACTCTATGGTAGGTTGTCTGGAAGCTGAATTAAAAGTACCTGTGTTTAGGCGCACCATTAACCTGCACTCGCAGGTTGAATGGTGGTCCTGGATGTTCTTCTATGATCGGATTGTTTCAAGGTTGATTGCTTTGATATCTTTTTAATCTGCTTCCCATCTTCCATAGAGAACGGGCCATGCTTAGTGAATGCCGACCGTAATTCAACCACTCTTAACCCCTACAGGTATGTAGGGATTATAAACCTTTGGATATACTAGACTAACACGAGGTCCTACAGCTGGAATAATCTCAGCAACAGTATGTAATACGTAGTAGCTCTCCAATTACTATGTCACAAGAACTGACTTCCTCACCCAGTGATCTATATCGACCAGCCAATTGGGACTGGATTCTCCTATGGTAATACTGATACGGTGAATAGCACCAAAGCCGCTGCACCCTATGTATGGACTGCATTCCAGGTTTTATTTGAGAGCCAGCTATTTTCGAAGTATGCCAGTCGAGAGTCAGTCGTTTAACTCATCAATTTGGTCGCATGAACGATTGCTTATGTCGTTCTCAGATTCATCTTTGCCACAGAAAGCTACGGCGGTCACTATGGACCCAGTTTTGTGACCTACTTCGAAGAGCAAAATAGGTTAATCGCTAGTGGGGGGATCGATGCCATTCCAATTGTGGTTAAAGCTCTGATGATTAACAAGTATGTTACTCTCATGATTTCTCGGGTGTTGAATGAACATTCGCAGTGGCTGGTTTGATCCACTCATTCAGAACATCGCATGGTTGAACTTTGCGACCTATGCTCCAGGTTATGGACAGCTCCAGCCAGATGAAGTACTCAAGGACATGTCAAATGCTCTTTATGGCTCTAACGGTTGCGTAGCACAAGAGAAAGCCTGTTACACAGCTGGAAATTCCACCAGCTCAAACAGGATTTGTCAGGATGCTGATGATTACTGCGTGAGTGACATTTGAGTAGTATCTCTAGGGGCGTCGTTTAACTCATTCAGATTGATAATCTTTACTATCCTGCTGTGGAGGGTTACGACCAGCATGATTTGCGTCAAAAATTATCTATTTTATCCCCCCCTGAATATTATGTGGATTATTTACGCGAGAAGCATGTCATGGAGAAGATTGGTGCTGAGGTTAAATATGAGGAATGCGCAAACGCACCTATGGAGCAGTTTGCAAAGACAGGCGATGCAAGTTTTTGTCCAACTTTTTCCCCCTCGAGTGTTGAATTTACGATCCTGTTAAAGGACGCTAGGACTTGGCTGCCCCAGCTGTCGGCTCTGGCCAACTCTGGGATGAAGATTTTGATTTGGGTGCGTACATCAGTGTCTACTTCATTGTTTGCTACCTAATTTGCATGGGAATCATAGGCTGGAGATGCTGATATTAAGTGCGATTTCCTGCTGTCATGATATCTCGCGTGATCTTGACGCCTCTCAACGGCTTTAGCTGCAACTGGCTTGGGGTAGGTTGACACATATTTTGTCTCTAACATTACTCAATTCTGTCGTTTAAAAGAGTCACGCGTCAGTCCTAGCAATGGATTGGTATGGCAATGAGACACTCCATATCACCCCATTCACCAATATGACAATCAACGGCATACCTGTTGCAGCCGTGCAGAATGTTGACAACTTCTCCTTTGCGTAAATGTTTTTCTTTCAACTCGCTTTCAAGATATATGCATATCATTATTTTATCTTTTAGGCGGGTGTACGCTGCGGGACACCTAGTGGTTAGTCGACTCGCCCCAAGATGACAATATCTACTGATGCCACTTATGTTATTATCAGCCTGCTTTCCAGCCCCAAGTAGCATTGGAGATTTTCTCGCAGGTTATTCAGAAGGAACAACTTCACTCAGTCTAAAGAGTGAACTTAAGTAACAGACACTGGCATCGTGCTGATGTATCCTTGGCGTGTTGTAGGGGGGGGAGATGCTTCTCCTCAGGCCCTCGAACTTCCCGATCTACCTCAAGGATGCGGCATGCCCATCACGAGCAGCCGCTTCAGACGCGCCGAAGTTGCAGAGACTATATACAATGATTGGTATGACTATTTTGACGTCTAGATAAAGTTATTTACTTTGTATCGTGTAATCACGATTCTAGCACTTTGCAGTCCCCGACTTTCCACGAAACTTGTGTATGTATTTTCGGTTTCTCTCTATCCTTGTTTTATTGACGAATTACGTCCAGACTAAAAGATAGTACTCGACGGTTTTCTTACACCGATGCTTGCTATTCCGAAAATTTGTCTACTTTGTCTGCACCTGGTCTACGTGTTGGTACTAAAAGATTGGACGTGTGAAATAAGGAATGTAGTGTCAATGCACTCATATCTCATTTAACTTCTCGACGCAAGCATGTCGGATGATATACTCTTCCAGCTTTGGCCATGTCGAGTTTTCATTTGGGAGCTTGGCTACTTACAGTATGCCTAGGATAGGATAAGTAAGTGCTGCCTCCGATGCATATAAGTATGTGAGCCTGAGTTTGCCAACAACACTACACAGACAACGTTTCATTTCACTATAGATGACACAATGTGTGGCGTTTGGAAAACGTTCACAAGAGAGAGTTGAAGGTGAATAAACTTAGGTTTCAGACGAGAGAACTGTTGTAATGGGTAGGACTGCAAGGGGAACCAAGGCCAAACCTCTATAGCGGGAGGCTACGGCTCTGTCTATCGAGGACAGACTACGACATGCACGAGGACTACCGACTACGATCCAGGACTCCTGCCACCGCGCCAGGACCTCTGCCACTCCCGTCGTGTCCTGCCAGAGCGCCCCGCTCCACTGTCCGAACTAAATGTATTTGGTGGGGGAAAGATCAACTATCCTAACAGTAGATAAATGGCGGTTTATATACTGCAGAGGCACGAACAATAAAGAATATGAGAGACTATGGAGACATGTTGCCTTGTAAGGATGAAGGCTTTTTAGTAACACTACATACGCCTTCCAGGTCCCCTTAAGAGGACCTTCTAGTCATCTGTGGTAGGGGACTGTTAAGCCTGAGATACGTCTGCAGACTGGATGTTCATGGTACCCATCGCTGCTAGGAGGACGAGAAGGGTAATGTTAATGATAGCCAACAATCCCAAGAGGACGAATCTACCAGATAGCTCTTCGGCCGTGAAACCATGATGACGAGCCTCAGCTTCTAGGTCCATTTGCTCATGCCATGTAAGTGATGACATGCTCTACTACCAGCCTGGCGTCTCCTTGTGACATATGGTGGACCTTGTGGATTCCTACATGACCAGGTGGACCCATATAAGATAGGCGCTGTTTTGTTGATGCTAAATTGTCGGGGATGAAGCTTAAGCTTAGTAAGACGCATCGATTTCCAGTGATTTCCTTTTTTGTCACACACACGTGAAAGCCAATGACATTAGTTTCTCAAACATGCATGGTTCGGTAGCATCTGCGGTGAGAGCTCGTATAGGTTAGTGGACATGTTGCACCTGTGCTTGTGGTACGGGATTCTAATGATGGTGGATTGGCGGATAAGAGGAGTTGGACCGGCAGTGAGGGAAGCTCGAAGTAGAGACGAACCACAAGCCTAGAGCACTGGAGGTAAGGCGCTCCTCTTGTGACAAATTTGATGACGAGGTTGAGACGTAGTAAGAGAGAACTTCGGCTGCATCCGCCGGTACCTGCGGCACTTGGAGATGAAACGGGAACAGCCTCGGGCGTCTACTACTCTACAGCTCAGAGCAAGAGACCTACGATCCCTCCAAGCTCACCTCGACCACGTTCAACGCCATCAACTTCCAGTAAAATGTTGAAGCCCATTCCAATCACTGCACCCCTGCGAGAGTTTAAAGGTCACGAACATTGTATAATGGCAGCCGCAGTGTTCCTCGATAAACGATTGGTTACGGGCTCACACGACAAGACGGTTCGTCTGTGGGACTTGGAGACCGGCGTTGCATTGAATAAGATGGAACTGCATCGTGGGGGGGTATCGAGATTGGCGGTCTCACAAGATGAGCAATTGATAGCAAGCGGTGATCTGAATGGGGAGGTCATGGTCTGGCACGGAGAAACTGGAGAATTGCTCTCCCAGCCCATCAAAGCTCACACCGAGTGGGTCAGCTCACTGGATTTTTCTCCTGATGGGACAGTGCTGGCCACTTGTTCAAACGACGGAATGACAAAATTATGGAGCACCAAAACCTGGGCGGAGCTGCAAGGAAGACCAATCAAGTGTGGAGGTGGTACTGGTTGTGTTCGGTATTCGCCATCTGGAGAATTTCTTGCCATCGCAACATCGAGCATCGACATTTATAATTCAGGCACGAGGGAACTTGTCGCATCCTTCAAGGGTCACAAATCGCACAACTTCTCACTCGTATGGACGGCCGATGGCACACGCCTTCTTACAGGTGGCGATGGGGTCGATCCTACCATACGCGAATGGGATACAACAACCTGGCAGCAGGTTGGCGATCCTTGGACAGGCCACTCCAATTATATCAATGTTATGGTCATTAATCCTGCTGGCACACTCGTCGCATCGGTATCTCCACATGAGGGTCATGTTCGTCTTTGGCGGGTCTCAGATCGACGAACCGTTGCCATCTTTCAGCACTCATCCGGGCCAGAATGGGTCGCTTTCTCCGTGGATGGCAAGCACATCCTCAGCGGAGGTAACGACAGGATGATCTCAGAGTGGGCAATACCCAACAACATCAATTCAAAGGCACGTTTCCTGCCTTGCCTCATAAATCAAAATTTGAGCATGTTTCGTGCAGATCCTAGGCATCATGACAGCTCGCATTGCATGCATAGATGGAGACTTGTCACTTGCCGAAGAACTACTCACACGAGATATCAGCACCGATGGGAACAACCATACTTCTTACGCTCATCGCTCATTTGTTATGGCGCGAAAACACGACTGGGACCACGCCGTTCAGGATGCAATCACGGTGAGATATACTCACTGGTCATGGTTCTCTTATGAAAGACTAACTCAATGGTGACATAGTCCATTAGCATTCAGCCATCGTTGATAGGCTTTATCTCCAAGGGTATTGGCCTCTGCGGAAAAGGCCACATCCGCGATGCAAGGGCAGCATTTGATGTTGCATCCATGTACACAGATCAAGATTCAGAAATCGTTCATTTTCTGCTCTTGATTAAGGTATGTTACAGTTGCCTTGCATACTCTGTCTCATTCCATATTTCAGGCCATCGCACTGTTCAATGCAGGTCATCATGACGAAGCAAGCCTGCTCCTCAAAGAACTCGCTGCGGGTTGTCCGAATGCCGATACTCGCGCATGTCGTATCGTGGAAGTAAGTATCATGCAGCTATACTTGGTCATCAATCCCAACCTTTGCACATTAGGCATATCTGCGTGTTCAACTCGAAAAAGCCTTGGATGGCGCACGTCACGCCGAAGCCGCTGACCATTTCACTTCCGCTGTCAACTCCAGCAATTCATCACCAAAATTAAACGTTCATGAGATATATGAGGACCTGGTGGTGGTGCGTTAAGACGATGTGTACATAGTGCTTCTTATAACTATGTATTTTGTCCAGCTTTTCGGCTGGGATCTGAAATGTTTGTGGCTGACTACACACCAGAAACGGTGTAATGCACTCCTTCAGGCAGGTGAATTTCAAGATGCCGTGAAATTGTACCGGTATATGATGGATTCAAGTAACAAAAACACCATGGTCGACTACCTCGACTGGTCCAATGGCAAGTCTAGTTTGTAATGTCATGCAGGCTACAATACTCACCTGCATTTCACGCAGCTTTCAGGGAAGAATGCAATGCGCTTTGTATTGCCAAGGGAGATGCTGCCCTCGCTGCAAGCGAGTATGACAGGGCTATCGACCTGTACTCGGCGGCGATCGCCCTGGATTCTGCATCCGATGTCGTTTTTGCAAATCGCAGCAAGGCAATGTTGGGGAAAATGCTATGGGAGGATGCAGTTCTCGACGCGCAAAAGGTGCGCTGGCATCTATGTTTTTGTAGCCCATATTGACTTCGGCAATGCATAGGTCACCGAACTTAATCCTTCATCTCACGTTGGATACCAGTTGACACATACAGCGCTGCGTGGCGCGGAACGTTACGACGAAGCCATCGAGGCATTCACAATCATGTTGTCCAAGTTGGACGATGCTCCTGAAGCGCAGATACGCAGTAAGCCATGGAACACTCCTGCATAATCTCGAAATGCCTATCTCATTCTACAGGTTTGCGTCAGCAGTATGTCCGTCCATCCCAAGCAGAAGACGCTATCCGAAGAGCAATTTGGATCGAACTCGAAAATGCCCCCCTTCGTCTGCTCAACACCTCTACAGGTCTTTTGTGCGACCGAGCAGCACAGCTAAACTCCTTCAAAATGAGTCCAGAATACAATGAGCTTATCACGTTTCCAACGAAAGATTCAAACCTCCGAACGGAGCGCATCAAAGACGTAGTGGCGACGTACTTCCGTTGCGTCCTGCTATCACACAGGTGGGAAGAGACGGAGGTGTTGCTGCACGACATTCAAGACAAAGTCGTGTACGAGTTGAATGGACTTAGTGGCGTCGCGAAACTGCAGTCGTTCTGCAAAATCGTTCGTGATGCTGGGTATAACTGGGCATGGATGGACACATGCTGTATTGATAAGAAGAGCAATATTACGGAGCTTCAAGAATCGATCAACTCTATGTTCGTCTGGTACCGCAACTCAGCGCTTACGATCGTCTACCTATCCGATGTCCCTCCTTCATCTCAGCCCGGTGCACTGGCGGGGAGTGTTTGGAACGAGCGAGGATGGACCTTCCAAGAATTAGTTGCTCCGCAAGTTGTCATCTTTTATCAGAAAGATTGGTCTTTATATCTCGGCGACCGCTCTCCCAACCACAAAGAGTCCCCTGAAATCATGAAGGAGTTGAAGGATGCAACGGGCATAGATGCACGGGCCTTGGTGAACTTCAGTCCAGGTATGAGGGGTGCCCGAGAGAAACTGCAATGGGCATCGAAGCGCGTCACCACTCTGCAGGAGGACGTTGCGTACTCATTATTTGGCATCTTCGGTATCACTCTGCCTGTCATTTATGGCGAGAAGAAGCAGAACGCGCTCGGACGGCTCCTACAGGAGATCGTGGCCCGGTCGGGGGACATCACTGTCCTCGACTGGATTGGACAACCTTCCGAGTTCAATAGCTGTCTTCCAGCCCATATTACCTCTTACACCACTCCTCCATGTGCCCTTTCATCTTTGTCTGAAGATGATATTCACACACAGCTCTCTTCGCTGCGAAAAAATCCCGTTGTTGTGGATCTGGCTTTGGAACTTTACGACCAGCTTGATTACACAAGCGCTGCTCGTTTCGCGAACTGCAGGCTGCATCTGCCTTGCATAGCATTCCGTGTCACAGAAGTCGGTCTGAGCTACGGTCCATCCCAGGAGACTCGATATAAAGTCAAGGCAGACGGGCTTCGTGACCTGCTGATCACTACCAAAGAGCTGAATATTCACTCGCGGACAAGATCCATCAAGCAAACCTTCCTGCTTGTCCGTCCCTGGGATCGGTCTCTCCTCGAGCTACCAGACTTTGCAAATCTGCTAGACGATACGGAGAGCGAGGGGAATTATCGGACACCGCCATTTTCTCCGTCAGACGACTCACCTAGCCATTCTCCTGTAAAACAGGATGGGGTTGATCTAGAATCGCGAGCATTGCGGTTGCTCGTTCGCCTTGGGCAGCCTTTTGGCGCCTTTTTGCTAGCGCGGCAGCGCGGCGGAGAATACAAGAGGGTCGCGTCGGATCGTGATATCATTGCGCAGGTCAAAGATGTGTCTTCTGTTCAAGACTTGATGGACATTAAGACGGTAGAAATATTGTAGATGCATATTTTTCCCGGAAATGAGGGATCTGAGCGGTGTTCATTTATGTGATACCACATGTATGTGTATTGGACTATAGTTTCTCTTCGAAGATGACCATGGAAACCTATCTGCGGTAAGTTGGCATCCGCCAGAAATGCGAGCGAGCGAAAACAGTGAAGATTCATAGGGAGACGCACTCGCAGTGGTAAGAGGATGAAAGGTGGATAACGCAAGGGAGACCGAACAAACGCGTAAGAAGGTCGAAGGCCGGTCAACTGGCAATTAGTATACGGCGCTTGACAGTATACTCCAACATGAAGAATACCAACATGCCACAGGAAGCTCGCGTAACACGGGAACATAATAGGCAAGAATGGCCAGAATGTAGGTTATTGCATATAGTACTAAATTTAATGTCTCAGCGTAAGCAGCGATGGCGACACAGCCCAGCCAAAGTAGCAAAGGTGTTGAACAGCTCACCAAATATATATGCGCATTTTTGTTGTGAATGGGGACTGAGATTATAGTAGCACCGGGTGGATATATACACGTTAATATCGTATATTGGGTATTATCCCGTAGCAAATAGTCTTTCCTTCTTGTTAGGCGCCAGTGCCTCAGATTCATTTTACCCATGAGCTAGATTGCTCAGATTGCTCCCTGTAATCTACCATCACCGAGCGCTCGACGCGTACGCGTATACCGAGTTCCATGTCGTTGGAATTGCGAGGCGATTTTGCCCTGAGCTCTGCATCGACGGGGTTTTTGGAGCCGTTAGAGCCTTTGGAGTGGCTCTTGGACTCGAACTGGGAGCGGAGACCGGACATCACTTTTTTCTGCGCAGTGAGTGTGGGACGCGCGACGATCACGTTTTCCAAGTGTTGAGTATGTGGCTCTAACATTCCTTTGCGTATTTGGGTGATCGGAGCGGAAGAAATGGAAAGAACGAACATTGCGAGCCTTAGTGAAATAGCAGTCAAGCTCTAGAGTGCTGCGTACCTCGTATATTGATGAGAATCCGTTGGCTCATGATCCACGTTAAAGCATAACCTATTGATGCCCTAATGATGCATTTTAAGAGGTCTGATCTCCTCAACGCCAGATGCTACAAAACTTACCCTGCCGACTAATAATAGGAGCGAGTCGATGTGAGTCTCCATGGTGTATCCAAAGTTAAGCCTACATACCTGAGTATCGATATTAGTTGTATGATAAAGTATGAGATTCAATACGTTCGCCGCTGAGGGAATGTTAGGAGGGTGCTTATCACAAGCAGAATATACTTGCCGGACAACACGATGAAATATCCGATGCCGTCATAGATCAGGCTAAGTATAATGAGTGATGCACATCGACTCTGCCAATGGTAAGGGACTTACACCCGTATTAGCTGTTCAACTCTAATAGCAATGGTTTAGCGACACGAAAGACGAGAAGGAAAAGACTCACCTGCTACTGAGGGGATTATAACGCAGAAGATGCATGGTAGAAATTGTCACTATGACAATGTCATACACCAACACAGCGAGGTAATAGAACCAGGTTGACAATACTTTGCCAGCATCTCCCGAGGTGCAGCTATGGTTCACGAAAATCTGAACAGCCCACACTGGTGGTAAACGACCACTTACTTTCCCTAAGAAAGAGATACTGTTTGCATGAAATCTCGTTGTAAGGAAAACTGACGTACATCATCAACAACAGCTGTGTATTGTAAAGGTCAATGAAAACCCAAGATTAAAATATAAGTCAGAGCTTACGAGTCCGGTGAAACATATCGGAGAACCACTCCGCCTAAAAGAAATCAGAGAAAGGATATCATACTTGTGTTGTAAGAACCCACTGAAACCGACAGGAGGTATAGCAGCAATAGTACAATTCCTATCCGCCTATCTCTTCTTGCAATATTGAATGCTCTAAACGATTTTTTTCAGTCTGCAGCTGCAACCCATAAAATATTCGACAGGACATACCTGACACCTAGGATGGCCTGTGATATCATTGTTTGTATGGCTACAGCATAGTCAATAGAGTCATGGTAGGTGAACACCAATAGGACAGACCTTTGAATGCAGGCGCCACAAGATAGTATTGTTGACATGTTTGTAGGGTATAGGCGGTGGAGAAGAATCCGTAATTGCTAATTACTATAGCCATGATACTGATATAGCTGCATTGAATGTGAGCAAAAAAATCACAAGATAGACTGAGGACAAACGTACCGTATAAGAATGAATAAGGTGCAGGCAAGACTGATGAAAATTGAGCTTTTCAGCGGTGATACGTGAAAATATGGCAGGGTATACATACCTTATATGAAAGATTGACGATTGGCTTCGGTAAAAGCGCCATTCTGCGGGGAGTGTAAGAACATAACTGAACGTAACCTGTCAGAATATCGTGACAACTACGAGGCAGCAACAAAGAAATAAAACGCTACTTACTCGTAAAATGCAACTGAGATAGATGCTACTCGCAAATATTTTTCAGAGGTTAAGCTGTCTACGACGACACGCCGCCCCAGAGCCTCCATTTAATAGATGAAAAACTCGTCCTCTGCGGCGGTCCTTGATAGATTGAGGGGAGGAATGAGGGTAAAAAAAGGAATGTAGGAAGGGCCACGCGACTCGGAACAGGCTGCCGCTGAAGGCTTTTACGAAGAAAGAAAGAAAGAAACACTGAGGGGGAATGCCAGCAAGGCAAGACTTTTCTACCAAAACCACACTTTGAAATTCATTAGACTCGCTAAACGATAGAAAAGGGGCAATTTTGTCTGGAGTAAATCTGTACATCATGCAAGCCAAGATTGAGCCAGCGAGACATCGGCTGGCATTGGCGAGGCACTGATCAGGGCACATCTAGGCTGTCTGAGGTCAACTTTGCTGATTAGTAAGCAAATATGGGGTTTATAAAATGAAATTCATTTATGAGTCCGAGTCGTGCCAAGTCAGTCACGGATTCACGTGAGACCTGCCTTTCACAATTCTGTCACACCAAAAGTTTCAAATGAGGGCTACAGCAATTTTCAATTACTTAGCGTTCACCAAGTACTACTGGTGGGCTCGGGCTCAGAATGAGTACAAAGACAAAGTTCTAGGAGGGCGCGAGCCTGTCGCTGTGCGTCTCATTTCTTCGTATCTACTCAGTCCACATCATGCATGATAGTAAGCCTTCTTCGAATTCTCAGTCTCGACTCATACTCTTCAGGTTCCCAGATTTGTACATGGCTTCAATTTGATACCAAAGTCGTTCCCTCTCAGCCTTAGAGACCCTCATCCTCCTCACCATACCCTGAGTTTCCATCTAGACGGACAGTAGCGTGTGTGCACTCAGGGCTCTGAGAAACACCGTGACCTGTCGAGATTCCTTGGACCCGAGCATACATACTGTTTTCTGCACCCCCCAAACCACCAAATCAGCGTGTTTGCCAGCAATATGGCCTATGCGCTTTCTCCGCATCGTGCTCCGGAACCTGGAAGACTTTCTATCGAGGATTGCTTCTACGTGCACAACTAGAACTTCAGGGGAACCATTGCTTGTTTAGAAAACATTGACGACACCGTATGCCCGAGTCGTGGCTACCACTACGACATAACCGCAATCGGGTTATACGCTTTGTGGAATCGACCTGTCACGGCAATGAGGAGGTCTGACCCAAGCTTATCCATCCGATTTTGGCTATGGTACGAAGGCAGGTGACTTGACCCCGAGTCGTTATCTAACAATGGTACCATAGTAAAACCAGGACGACGGGGTCTCGGTCTTGGCCAAAGTCGACTATTTGCATCGGTGGCAGTAGTGATTTGTGCCATGGCGTCCGCAGGGGTCAATGGGAACTCTAGGGGAGCGTGAGTGTCATCGCACGAAGTATCTTAGAGATGGCGGTCAGAGAGACTGAGTACTGATTCTACTGAATTGCAACGGATGCCTTAGTAAAATTCATGCGCCTTTAAGCTTTACATAAGCTTTATCGATGCCTGACGCGGAGTTAACCGAGAGCTGTGTACGTTTAAAGTTTAATAACAGTTAAGGTTGCAAGAGACTGTCGGCAGTGAGAAATTAGACGTCGAACGAACCGACGAAGACCCTCAACCAAAAATGCAGGAATCGGCAGACGTGGTGGATATTCAAGCAACACCAACTCGAAGCGCAAATGCCATGTCTCGAACATACTATGGTGTCCGTAGCTATCAAGTAAATGCGAGGCGACGCAACCTACTACTAATCAGCAGTGAAGGACGTACACGCATTCGATATCTTATTCCTCTCCAGGATCGACGTCCGACTCATCGATATTACTACAGGAAGGTCTTGCTGATGAGTTGTGCTCGATTCAGAGTCTCGCTGCTCACTGAACAGTAATCAGGCCGAGGCCCGCATCATTCACCCAGCGTGGTCTACAGAGGACTTACTGCAGACAAGTGGTACACGTCACTGCAACGATCATCGGACGTGTCAACTAGCCATACAGTAAACCTAGGTCTGCTAAGCGCACCAGTACTAGTATAAGTCCCACATTTTACGCAAATGGCACTTGCGAGTGCAGGACATAACAAAAAGACGAACTTGACTTCAAGTTATAAAATTGTTGTTGGAATCTCGCTCGTCTAATTCGTAGCCGAGCCTATGATACATCAACTATACAAAAGTTAAGGAACCTACGTGTGCTCCCGGATTGAAGACATTAGGTGACAATAAGGGATTTTGTTATCCTTCTCCAACGAGCTTTTCAGCGGGAAGTAGGAAGTAGCTGAAAAGAGCACCCGGAGAGATTCACCTCCAACATCGAGCGGAGTTACCAGTTTCCTTGGTGACTTATCTTCAAACTGCAATCCAACCACCACAGTAGCAAGAATGCCAGCTCGCACAGCAGAAAAAGCTGCAGCACTCAGTGAGAAGGGTTCATCGACTGTTCTCCCTTTGGGATCAGCGACTAGGCGGTATCCACAGATGTGGGGATAGCGGAGTATCATCGAGGCTGCTTCACGGAATAGTTTCGAGACTAATCCGAAGGGGATGAGGTCAGAAAAATCGAGATAAAGTGCGATCTCTTTCCAAAGTTCGAGAGGCAGCGGTGAACGTGTGATGTTGGGTGGCTCATCATTGCCGCCATCAACTCCCCGAGCGAGCGATTTCTCTGTTTTATACCGTACATAGTGGCAAATATCCACAACACGCTCAAAGAGTGCGGGGTCGATGCGAAAGCCAAGACGAGCGAGAGCAGTGATGCCTGGTGTAGAAGGTGAATGTGCATAGAATGATGGTAAAAACTGGAGGGCGCTCGTGTGGCTGAATTTCATCGTGTGCGCATCTTTGATAACTTTGACGACTGCACAATGGTAGACAGAAAACGCGACTCCAAAGTATTCACCAGGGTTATCCTTCTGCTCCATGATCGCGTTGATCAGGCGTGACACAGAAGCTTGTAGGCATCGCTCTTCATCTAGATGCGTTGCGATGCAAACAACAATGTCTTCGCGAACCCATGTAAACTCTTTTCTTTCCAGCATGGGATGGAATGCGTTCTTGATTTCATCGAATATCTGAGGAACAAACGTGATGCTGGCCATGAAGCATGCAATTGACCACTGATCGTCCGTGAATTGATTGTGATCAGATACAAGTTCGATATTGTAGATGTCCTTGCTAATGGTTCGTTCAACCATGCACTGCCCAATCATGACCTCTAGCAATAAGACTCGAATGTGCTCGTCTGGAGATAAGAAATCATTAATGGCGAGCAGATCGCTCAAAGCCACGTGGGATCCAGTCCACATGGAAGATTGGTACGTTGCGAGGTCAGAATTACTGACGGTCGGTGGTGCTGGCCTCTTGTACCTGTGCTCAGGGGGGCATTGCGATGCACAAGCTAGGTTGCCGTAATGATCTTTGGAGATATATTGGATAAAAGCATCATCGTCTGGAAGGCATTCCAAGGAGAAAAAAGGCATTCCATTTATGTGGAAGATATTGCGATCAAGATCTATCTCGTAGATCCATTCGATAAAGATGTCGTTTTCTGGCCGCTGCCAGGATGGGGGCGAGAAATCATCACCGCGTACTATGAATATTTCAGATAGACTTCTCAGCCCATCTAGTATCTCTCCCAACATCTGTCGATAGGTCGTGATGGCATTGGGAATTTGCATAGATTGAAGCACCGTTACGCCAAGCCCATCTGGATAGCTGTCATAGTTGTGGTATTGAGCGAAATAAATGTTCCGATAGCGGAGCACGTAGTACCCGCGAGTTCCCATGTCTGTACGTAGATCAAAGAAACCCGGATGAGTCTGCTGATCGATTGATATGTGCACGTAGAACCTAAAAGACGAGTCTCAGCGTCGGTGAAAGAACCGCTATGAACATTGACAGTACCTAAGAGACGGGTCTAGAGACAAATACAACTTGTAAGAGCCAGCATGCAAACTGAACAAATAACATACCTCATACAAACAGTGCGATACAACTAAAGGTCAGTATGATAAAGTTTAGGGCTGGCAAGTTATAATACTAGGGACCCTGATGACAAACGAAGAAAAGGAATACAGGTTGAACATTTAACACATTCGGTGTACGGGAATAAAATCTGACTTTATTGAAATCATTTGACTGTATCTGTCAAGAAGACTGAGTCACAAGATCAGGTTGGCAACGAAGTTCAAGTGATGTTCGAGCGTCACGTCGCGATGGCTAAACGAGTACCAGTACCTTCGCAGAACCAAAAGTTGAGCAACAGAACACATAATCAGCATTATAAATGACACAGAGATGCATGTATGTACTCTATCTCCGTTTCGACCCAGAGCCTTGCTTCCACTGCTGCCAGCCTGATCTTGCTTGAGGAGCAGCAGGCGGTGGAACCGCGGCCTTCAGACTGGTTGATGTAGGTGGGGCAGCTACTACTGGAGGCGCAGGTTGGGAGAACGTCGGCGCAGGAGGAAAACTCTGGTCCCGTCTCTTAGAATCTGAGACGAGCGCAGCAGGTGCCCTGCTGCCTATCGTGGGAGGGAGGGGGGGTGGCCCACTGGTTGGAGGCATGCAGGGAGGGAGTGGTACGCTAGGTGGACGCATATTTGCTGGCGGGAATGGAGGCCGACCGCCTGGAGGGGGTGCATTCATAGGAGTAACTGGAGGAGGAGGCGGAGCTACATTGGGTGGCGGTGGTGGCGCTGCAGTGTTGTCGGGAGGGGGTGGGTTGACTGGTTGAGAGCTGCCAGTGTCAAGAGATGTCCAGCCACCAGTGCGAAACATTGGTGTACCTGCGCTGTAAGAAGCTGGAGGCAGGCTAACCACCGGCGGTGGCGGTGGCGGAAGTGGTGCGGAAGGCGCAGAGGAGGACGCATTGGAATCTAACGATGCCCAACCCGACCGTTTGAAACCAGTTGCAGGCTCAACTGGTGCTGAAACGGTTGCCCAGCCAGCTTTCTTGAAGTTGCTTGATTGAACTTCAGAGGGAAGCGGCGCCTCTGCAGCAGCAGGTGCATGTGCAGGAGGTACAATAGCTGATGTAGCTGTAGGTTTGGCCATTTTTATCCCGGCAGCCTTTGCAATTTTGCGAAGCTCCTTTTCTTCTCGCTTGCGCTCTTTCTCCTTACGCTTATCGACATCTTCTTGGGTGGTCATGCGTGTGTTGGCTTGCATATCCCGGAGGCGTGCCTTGTGGTGATGCGCGTACGAGTTTGTATGTTCATCATACTGTGCGACATTCTGGAATTGCTTCTCACAAAGCGAACAGTAGAATGATTTGAGGGTATCTGAAATTTCCGACTTGAGTGCAGCCCGACGAGCGGCATCGTCCTGAAACAAGATCAGTATGCTCTGTGATATCGTTAGTACGGTTGGGCTCGCCTCTCGTGCTTTTCGTTGATATTCGGTTTCTTTTCGTTGTCGCTCAGAGTCCAACTTGCGCCTTTCGGCAACTGTTGTCTCGATCATTCGAAAATCTTGAGTCGTTTTTCCTAGACCAGTCAAATCATTTTTCACATGAAATGGTATAGGATCGACGCGCGCTGCAGTAGAAGGATTAGTGATACAGTTCACGACAGGAATGATCAAACGTACCGTCTGCCGATAGTCCCAATGGCTGACCCTCTGACCAACCGAGTTTTGCGAGCATTGCAAAGCCCTTGTTGGTGCTTTTGATCTTGGTCTCGACGGTGATGACCTCCCTTTCTGGACCGCGAACATATTCGTCATATTTTTCAATGTCCATTGCATCGGGTGTAGGTGAGGGTGACCTTGAGACTAGCGAGACGCCGTCGTCATCGTCATCATCAACATCTTGGTGAGAACGCTGGGATGGATGCACGGAAGGGCAGTAGGGGTGTTTTATTCGTGCCAGAAAATATGGCAGAGTACCTTCATAGAATTAGTTTGGTTTTGTACAGATTGTGCTTGTTCTTGAGTGTCTGTATCAGGTCGAGACATGGGAATTGCATTCCAGCGAGCTATACTCTGAGCAGACATGGTGAGAGAAGTAGCAGACAACAATGAACTTGGACCAAAAATAAAATGCGCGCCATCAACCGTGTTTCAACAAAATTTTGACCCCTCCATGGGGGGTACATGGAGTCCAAACCAGAAGTGCGACACCTTGACACGCTTTCTATGTTAAATTCATCTTCGCGATCTATTATCAATCTCTAAGTACTACTACTTGGAATTGCAAGACGTGCATATGTTGAGCAATGAGTTGAACACTGAAAAGTCATATGAAATTTGAATGATGGTGTCACGTGAGAGCTATAACTTTTCCTTCATCATACCGGATGGCAGAGTTCATGGCCTTTCAATGACATTGGCAACACCCTTGTCCGCCCAGTCTTTCGTTAGGCTCCTCAAAGCCCCCACAGATCCACCTAATCCAGAGAGCCCACCAAAAATCCAAATCGCTTGTGCAGCATGGGATGATACTACTATTCACATTCCAAATAAGCACGAGCTCATCGCCGAGTTCATACTCACCCGACTACTCAAAGACAAGTCAAAAACTAGGTGCGTCAGCTTATGCGGAGTGCAGCCATTGCTCATGACAACTGATGAATCAGCGACAATCCGGTAATCGATGCGCGGTACTGGTCCCTTCTTCGCAAGGTTTTGGTTTTAGATGGCAGCGTAGGGGCAGGTGTACGTGGCCTCAAGGTCTGGCTTGGTTCTCTTCTCAATCGCACACCGCTCGCACCGATAATAATCTCGATCCTTACTCTCCTAAGGGATCTGCCAGTTACAAAAGCGAAAGAGCTTCTTGTGCTCGTACGCCCGTGCTTCTCTGTCCTGTGGCCGTTAAGTGTCCACAAAATTGGCGTGGAGACACTATTAGAGTGCCTTGGTGCTGTACTGAATGTCTCTACTGAGCTGCTTGACGATGTCATTTTGGATGGTATCTGTGAGACAATCGTATCTTCATATAGAGAAGCACTAGGAAATGCGGGGAACAAGAAGAAGGTGCGCAGTGCTATTGTTTTTACGTGGCAAGAGAAACCTAAGACGTTTGTGTAGCTACCTGTGACCTTCCTTCAATTCCATCTCTCATCCTGGATTCATGCAATCTCGTCATCATCCCATTTGTCTCCACAGTTGAATAAAGCAATATACGCTGCAGGAACAGAGACCTTGTTCTCTCTCGATACGCTTCGTGCATCCCCCTCATCTGAGAGCTTATTCACCGGCCTATCTTCTTTGCCGGACTCACCAACCACAATAAATCTCGCGATCCCGCTCCTACCCCGCCTCTTCAGCACCCATACGCACTTCCTACGGCGATACCGCACCAGTTTGTTTCCCGCTTCCCAGAATAACATACAAAACCGTGAAAACGATATGAGAATGACATCCATGGCATTCTTCGCGTCGTGCCTCAAGTTATTGGCCGGGAACGATCTGAGCTGGGACGCAAGAGTGGGTTTGGTCAACATTATTGAGAGCGAGCGCATTTACGCAAGTCAATGTGTGGGAGAGATGGAGGTGGAGGCAGTCAGAGAGGATGCGGTCCGGGTATTGGAGGAAGAAAAAGCGGAGCAAAAGGTGGTAGGTTTGGCTTTGGACGTGTTGGCTGCGCTCGCGACGGTCGACTATGATGTGATTGAACCTGTGGTAGGAAGAATACTTCCTCGGCTGATATTGGTAAGCTTTGCTTCTTCGTTCGTCTTTTTCTGTGAAATCAATGCGTTCGCCATTCCTGGTGTCTTTTCTCCAGACTCGCCCATCTCCCTCCATACAAAAATCAGCCAACGTACTTCTTAACATCCTCCTCGACTTTCACTCCAAGACGCGCACGTTACACGCATACACTCATGCACTCTTTGATGCCTGCACCTCTCTTCTTTCCATCAGATCCCTTGCGTCACTACAAGAATTCTACGACCGCGGACGCACCTCTATTATCCTCGCGCACACCCACCTTTCCTCGCTCGCACAAGCATTCCGCACATTCCTCACACCCACCCAAGTAAAGGAGGCAGCTCAGATTACCCCGGCTCTCAAAAATACTTTTAATACCTACCAAAACCTTTCCTTGCGGATAAAAACTAGCGAGATGGAAGACAGACCGCGTAAAAAGCGACGGAAAAGTGAGCCTGCCCCGCCATCTGCGAGTCCAGCGCCCATACAGGCCATGCAGGAAGTAGATGCTTATGCACTTTCACTTTCCCTCACTCTCAAGTTCGCGGCTCTATTCCTGTCGAACCTCCCATCTTCCTTCGTCATCCCTGAGGTCCGCGAGGTTGTGCTTGAGGCAAGCGTATGGGCCATCGAGGCCGCTCGCTCGCTTCTTTGTAACGAGACTTCGAAAATATCCTGGGCAGACCAAGTGACAAGTGCTGCACTTCTTCGTTTTGCGTATCATCTACTGGCTTGGAAGTGCGGTGGAGAACTAGGAGATATGCGAGGACTATTGGAGGTTGCCAAAACAGAAGATGGTGCGGAGGGGGAGCTAGTGCTTGAAATTGTGCGTCTTCCTCCTCTCTTTTGTTGGAAAGACCTGATTGATTTTTTTAGCTGCGATTTCTCTTTGCGTGGTCTTCTAGATCGGACACCGATGTAGCAGTGGAAACTGTATTGGACTTTGCCCTGGCGTATATCGAGGCGCAAGCGGAGAACACGGACGGATTGATGGTACTCTACCTAATCGTCGAGCGGTGGTTAGATCTTGTAGAGTATGTTATCTCTTTGATCCCTCCTTGTGGTTCTATTGATCGATGTATACCTCAACCATGCAGTGCCCGAGGATCTAAATCTTCCCTCGATCGCCTGATCAAACTTATATTCTCTATTTCGCCCACGTCTACTCGTCGCGTGGACGTGCAGGGCTTGCAGCCAAAAGATGTTCTCTGGGGTGTTTTGCACAATGCGCAGTTCTGGGAGATGGGGAACATACGAGGTAAGATTATTCGTTTCTCTCATTCCTTCATTTTTTCATACTGATATTTACCACTTAATGACGACAGTCTCCGTTCTTGCATACCTCACGTCCCCGCCTAACTCTATGAAAGTTCCTGCGTTGGATCAGCTCAGCAACACTTACTACCTCCTCTTATATGTTCCCCCTGAGTACCTCACTAAACAGGCTCGCGCGGAGCTTGTGCACCGGGCAATGGAGGGGGATGTCACTCTTTCATCGTTGCTGCATGCGACCACCGGAGAGAAGACAGCGAAGGGCAAACGTAAGCGTGACGAAGGAAGGGACCTAGAAGATATGAGGCAAACGCTCATGCACATACGTGTATTCCTTCAACGGATGGGGAAACTCGGGTATCTGAACACGTCTGATCGCGAAGTATGTTTACATGGGCTTTCTTTAGTTCTGGCTGATGTGCGCTTGTAGAGCGTCAGGGACTATGTGAAGCACCTCATGAGCACGGAGGTTTCAGATAATACGGCGTTGAGAGAGGCCACGATAAATATTGCGGAATTTTATATTGTGTATGTCTTCCCTCTGTTCTTCTGCAGGGTTACTGACCCCCGAGCAGTGCGCTCCTGCGAGTATCAGATCAAGACCCTTCTGCTTCAGCCGCGTGTGCTTCTATTTTCTGCTCTCTCGCGCAGTCGGGTTCTCTTGATGAAGAGAGCGTTACCCAGTTGTGTGTCCTCCAGCTTGTTGAGCGTCTCAGACAGGATTTTTCTGTTTTCAGGTGCGTCCATTCTTCATTCCATATAAACGTAAATTTCCTCTTCTAATAATGTTGATAGTCTTCCTGGCTTGATAGTTGCATCAATAAAAGAAGTGCATGCTGCACTAACTCCAGTTTCATACCCTAACGTCATTGACACGCTCCCCGCGAGCGGGACTATTAAAGCATGGGCGCGCCACCTTTCATTTAGCCATTGGTTAGGCGTTACTGGTGAGCATTCAAGCGTCCTTCATTCGGTAGTGCCCACTCGTTTTTTTTTCTCAGCTACTTCAACTTCTGAGTACGGCCAACATATCGCAGCCGCCCTTTTGCGAAACAGAGAAAAATGCAAGTCTTCTGCAGAAACCTTGGGACTTCTCTTTGAGGAACTGCGTTGCTTGCCCAACATCGACCGCAAGATGCATCTTGGTCTAGCAGTAGGGGTGTTTATATTTTCTACGGAAGCTGGTATGTTGTTTTTGTTAGTTCGTGTCCATTGGTCGAACTAAGTTGAGGTGAATTTAGGAGACATAAAATCCTTGGATGAAGTCGTCTCAAGCGGATCCAAGCATCTTTCAGTCGATGACTTCTCACATCTACTAAACACAGTATATGAGGCACTTGAAAGCACGCGATTTCCTCCGGTTCAATGCGTGCGTCTAGTGCATGCGGCCACTGTTCTGTTGCGTGATGCACCTCAAGGTAGATGAGATAACTTCAAATACTTCTGAACACCATCCTTATTCTGTCGTAGGGACTTTGAAGGTCGTTCAGTGTTTGTTCAGTCAGTGTCTGAATCTCTTTATCGGACACATACAGTTCTTTGCGGGTCCTGTGGACTTGAAGTTGGCTTGCCTCGAGTTTGTGGCTCGGCAGTGTTCAGATAGGGTATGTCGTAGTATATTCTATCATTAATACTAACTTGACGCTTCATCCCAGCCTGCAGCTGTTCGCCCTGTCGACCCGGGTCCCATCCATGTCCTGCTGTCTAAGATCCTTTCCGGGTCTCCAACACATGACAGTACCACCACGCCCGCGGTCTTCCACGCCTCTACCACAATCCTAAACGCACTCGTTCGGCTGCGACGCGATCTTGTCGTCCACGTTTTGCCACATCTGGGGATGGTTCTCCGCCAACTGGTCTCATGCACTCGCAGCCTACGGCCCCAGCTAGCCGCGAAGCAGAGCCGCATCGTCACCGACACCCTCCCATCGTGGATAGCACCATCTGAACCACTAGGTGTGTCAGAAGCTCGTGCACTTGCACGGCTATTCACCTCCTTGACGACAAAGAGTGTCCCCCGCGTGCACATGCAGCCCAGTGCAGAGCAGAAAGCGGAGAGCCTATCCAAACCGTTCGCCAAGCATGCTGCTTATGTGCTTACTGCGCACATTGACGCTGTGAACGACCCGTTGTGTGTCACACGGGCAGATGTGAGGCGTGAGCTTGAGCCGGGTCTGTTTTCACTGTGCGAGATGATGGGCACGCACAGTCGTGATGCTGTTATGGTCAGTGCGTTGGATGCAGGTGGGAAGAGCGTGATGAAGGCACTCTGGAAGGAGTATGAAAAACAGCGGTATATTGGGAAGGGGTAGAGCTCCACATGCATATATACATATTGTCGATCTATCTACTTGCATCGATTCTCTTCACATCTACGTTGGTCTAACGGCCTTGACGTACACATCTCTGAACAAGGTCTTCTTCTTGGGCGGTGCATTCTCGGGTCTCCATCCCGCAGCAGCCTTCTCTTCTTTGAGCGTGCGCAGGAGCTCTAGGAAGTCTTCTATCGCTTGAGGCGATGTCTGAACGTGCATCAGAAGGCGAGACCCATTCAGCTTAATGGGATCAGGAAGTTGTGCAGCCCGCTCGACTACTTCCCAGTATTCAACCCCGATAGGCGAAGGGTCATAGAACAACTGATAGAAGGTCACTATCGTTTTCATGTGGCATCTAACTTTGTCAGGGTACCACCCACCATGCAAGTTTCAGCGGGACTCAAGATACCAACGCCAAGCTTTTCTAAGCCCTGCTGCATCCGCTTTGCAAGGGCGTGCACGTGAGGGAGCATACGGAAATTGTAGGTGAGTGCGTAGGCAGCGCAACCAGCCAAGTACCCGGTCTGGCGCATACCCCCACCAAAGAGCTTTCGGAACCATCGCGCCTTGGTTATGAATGGCGTTGAGCCAACTAGGATAGTTCCGATGGGTGCACCTACGCGATTGGTGAGCATCGTCAATGATAAATTGTTGCCGAGTATGTCTTACCAAGTCCTTTGCTGAGACATAAGCTTGCAGACTCAAATGGGTCACAGAGTTCTTTCATGGACAATCCGGTCTCTGCTGCGACATGCCAGATGCGGGCACCGTCGAGGTGCATGATGATACCCCGACTACGTGCGTTCTTCGAAATTTCAATCACGTCGTCCTGTGGAATGATGGTCCCGTTCAAAGTATTCTCGAGCGCTATGATACGCGTTGGGGCACTTCAGGGGTGATGTCACTGGTGTAGTCAAGCAGTATTTACTTTGGTACTTACACATGAACATCTGTACCAGAGACGATACGAGGTTCAATGTCCTCCCAGGTAAGATGATGTTCTGGTGATGAGCATAAAATACTTCAAAATGTAGGTTCTAATTGGAAAGAGCATACCATTAGCGGGAATGATTGGGATACTGTTGGCACCTGAGTGAAATGCGGCGCCGCCAGCTTCCATGCTAACAAGCGTTGAAAATATATTCCTCGAGCGACGAGCAAACTTACCGGTATATGTGGGCCCGTGCATCTGTGATGACTGAATATGGAGGCTGCTGTAAGTGAGTCCTGATGGCAACTTGATTCGACATCGTGCCCGTGGGTAGAAAGAGGCCTGCTTCTTTTCCGGTGATTTTTGCGACGTGAGTTTCAAGAAAGGCGGTGGATGGCTCAAAATATACATCGTCCCCGAGGGACGCACGGAGAGCATAGGCATTCATCTCCTTGGTCGGCACTAATGACGTGCCATCAGCATGAATCCGTGCTCCATATCGAGATAGAATACCTGTGATAGTGTCCGCTGTAGATACTCTGTGAGACTGATCTCTCATGCAATGGTGCAAACCACTCACACACAAATGTCCTCGAAATTTCTTGGACCTTGAGGATGTTGTCATCATCTTGAGTCTCGGAATGCACATCGCAAGCGATTTCCTGCGCGATTTCAGCGAAACGGACGTCTGTCAGGGAAGACATGGGTCGATGAGATATTGGATGATTGTGCTGGCATATTTCTGGTACTTATCTACATATTGTAAGGACGGAGCGTTTGATCCCGCAGAACCAATTCGTGTTGACACCACGTGCGCACTACTTCAACACGAATTGGTTCCACGGGATCAAACGCTCCGTCCTTACAATATGTAGAAATATATATAGATAGATGGGCTCGGAGTAAAGATGAAACCTTCGGTAAAGCTCGGTAGCTCTCGGGAGGATTGCAGGCTCATTGAGGATATAATAGCCAGCAAACGAGGGACCCGACCACGAGAGTGGTCGGACCCCATGGAATCCGGAGATAAACAACCCCACACACATCAAGTAGTACTATCGTACCGTTTTGTGAGTGCGAAGGACAAAGTGAAGGTTTACCGTGATGGTGAGCAAAGTCACTACAACGTTTTGAGTGGTAAGGTAACGTTATCAGAAACAAGTTCACCTAGATGCATAAGCCTGCCAATCTGCAACTTGCAAGACCACTGAAATGAAACGCTCCACTCACGCGCGTTACGGACACTTACGAACGCTTTTCAAGTCCGAACGCAGTCATGATTGTAGATGAATATTAATCCCCGCTACGGCAGTACTAGTGGGTTTTCCCGTGCTATGGGTTCTCATTTTTGGTTTCCTGTTTTAAATGGTGCTTTGTTCGCACGGTCCTGCAGGGCTATCTTTGTATTGTTCTCTGCGCAATCTCTGCGTACATTGATCTTCTTTAGTCATCGACCATGTATCACGAAGGCATTGGATATTTCACTGATGTTCCTGCTGTTTTTTTCGCATCAATAGTGCAAGTTCTGATTCTACTGTGTCCTTCTGCACAGTTACAATGTGCTGTGTTCTGTTTCTGACCATAATGGAGTGGTTGTGGAGTCGACTTCTGGTCTGGTGCGCATTCTTACTGTCGATGGTTGGTATGATTCTCGACAAACATTTTGCCCCATCTATCTGGATGGGTGCAACTGTGATTGGCTCGCATTTGTAAATGCAAAGTTCAATGACTTTTGATTTCTTTGGAGATGGATCTTGTGCAGTTTTTTGCTGGTCATACTTGGAATTTTCAGCCTGGAGGTACGTGTATTCATCCGAATCATTTTCATATGGCTCCAGACTAAATAATGATTTATAGAGAATATGTCTTCTTCGCCTGTTATCCATTGGATTATGTCTAGCTACCCAAATGGGTTCTAAAGCTCAGGAAAGTCGGACACTTGCTGAATGATGAGGGACAACGGGTCTTAAGATCCTGTTGTAGAAATCAGTCACTCATCAGATGAAGCACTCCCTAACTTGTCTCCACACCAAATCCCAATAATTGAGGACACCATAGAGCTTAAATTCACCTATCCCAACTCCAAGAAAATGTGTCACATCACTCGAATGCAAGTGCCAGTTTTTCCAGGGTTTGTGATCACTGCACATAAATTGCAAGGACAGACACTTGAGAAAATAATGATTGATCTTGGCTCCAAATGGTGTTAAGGTGCCGAAAAGCCATATGTAATGGTGTCCCATAATCTGTACGATACTTGTGCCAATTGATAGTCGACAAAGTGACCGTAGCAGGCTCTGCCACAAGCGGCCTTTTGCGTTATAATTGTTGATGAACAAGTGTGTCACACGAATGATGTCATCCGAATCAGCTTGCTCCTAATATTCCTCACCAAGCTGGCCTGCGCAAAATCAAGCCCCTCCATCTCATCATGGCTACCAACTCTGAAGTCTTTGATAACAAGTCCCTTGCTAGCCTGCCTCCCCCGTATGAGAATGTTTCTACTTCTACATCATCGACTGTGACAGATTCTGTCCAACACACTGCTGGCAGCCGGTCATCTTTGTTTTCATTTCTACTATGGAACAAACATAAATGGACTCAGATTGAATGGGCCAAGATTGAACAGTCCCAGGCCCAATAGGTCAAGATTGAGCAGGCCAATATTGAGCAGGTCAAGATTGAACTCACCAAGACTGAACTCACCAAGACTGAAAGGACTCAAGCTGTTCTATCTCACCTCTGTGATATCATATCTACTCCTAATTTTCTGGCTTCATCTGTGGCTCCTATCATTGAAACCTGTGCTGCTGCTCTCCTTCCTGAGGAGTTCTCTGACCTCCTGCAAAATCCCAATATTGAGGGTCACACTGCAATGTATTGGGCAGTTGTGAATTGCCGGAGAGAAGCTTTTTCCATGTTTACAGCACACATCCCCCAATTCTCATCTGTTTGCTATTCTGACTTGCGTCTTGCATGTATGTCAACTAGCAACCATGCATTGTTTATGCAGCTGAACTTGGGTCATGTTATCAATTGTGAGTGGGGGTATCAATTGTCACCCAAGTGTATCAACTGACTCATTTTGTACTGATCAGCTAAGGATGAATCTTTGAGACATTTTTGAGTTGCCCAGCGGATGAGGTTCAGGTGTATGACACATTGACAAGAAGGATAAATTGTATGGTGTCAACCACATTGTTGCTCAGTTCCATATTAGGATGTTCCAGAAATGCCTGCATACTGCAGGTGAATTGGGCATAGAATTTGTTGCTGCTGGTACATCAGTAAATCACAAATTCTTCCACAGAAAGTATGAAAATTGTGTTCACATGACAGTAAGCCACAGACTTCACAGTTCTGCCACAATCACAGCAAATGGTGGCTGCAAAGTATACACCGTCTCCAGTCACTCACAGTTCTACAGTATACAACTTGAAAATTTAAGTAGCCTGAGTAGTAGTATCATACTACTAGTATGACTTGTAGTAATAGTTGTATTGTTAAGTCTATCACTAGCTAATGACTTGGTTTTGTGTGACTTAGCTTCGATGATTGAACTTAAGCTGGCAGCAAAAATGGTTTCAGATCTGAGTGTGACATAAATTCATTCATGCCTATGGTACAACATATACTATGTACATATTCATGTGAGAACAGTGTATCTATCGAGTGTCATAATAATGTGAAGGGGACCCGGAAGCACTCAATCCAGCTGGATTGTGAGGTGTCGACTGCTTTCGTTAGCTTCTTCTGGGACAGATCAGCATCCCCAGATGCCACATAGTCTCATATTGTGAGCTTACCAGTTTGTAGACAACTGCTGCATGTTAGAGGAAAATGAGTCCATCCATTCTTCTTAAATGCGACTCACATGCACCCTAGTCTGATATCCGTGTCCTCAAGCATCTTCTCCGCCTCTTCGGCTCGATATCTGAGCAAGCTTGCCAACACTTCATTCTCCCGTACTACACAGTCTGCTAGTGTCTTCTGTGCTTGGTAAATGTCGTGCTTGGCTCTCACGAGGTCCATCAGGAGGTTGGCTCCAGAATTGGTTGAATCCTGTATGGACTGTTAAAATGTAAGGTGCATAAAAATGTGAATTTAGAGATCAACATCATCAAGGAATTAACAGAATGAAGAACATTGTATAGCTCACATATACCCGATGTTCCTTCATGACGATGTCGATGAGGCAATTGTTTGTCCTTGCCTGATGCGTGTGCCAAGAGAGATCGTAAATTGGTTATGTCCTTCATGATGATGGTACATTTTGAAAAGTCAGTCAGAAAATGCCGAAGATTGATGTCAAGAGTTATTACTGCTAGTACTCACATATGTACATACTTGTTTCACACCATGCCTCAATGTCCATCGTGCAGGAAGGTCTTTCAAGACCATACATCCGTTGCTTGTCACATGAGTCAACCTCGGTCTGGCTGCAATACATGGCTGGAAGATATAATCAAGCTCAGCTCTGTTATTCCATCACGCCATTCCTCGAACTCAGCAGATATTGAACGCCATGATGGAAGCGAGGCGATGTTGGATGACTCAGATGACTTTGGTAATGTTGGTGGTGAAGGAGAGGATACAATGGTGGATGGAACTTACAACAAGGGTGATAAAGTAACCGAGTGCTATCCTGACCCCCCGCTTGCCTATCAGGATGGCTACACCTTTCTGAGCCTGTTTGACTCTGATGAAAATAGTGTGTATCGCAAGAATAACCTCTACTATCCATTTAGTTGTCGAGAAGATTGGCAACTTGCAGCATGGCTGCTTCATTCAGGCCTGAGCATGGGCAAGATAGACTCTTTCCTATCGCTCGAAATGGTGAGTGTCCCAACTCCATACTCACTACCATCCCTTGACTGTCGAACTTTTTAGGTCAAGGACTTACCCTTGTCATTTCATTCAGCCAAAGAACTACGGGGTCGAGCTTAAATGCTCCCCAGTGGTCCACGTTGGATGTCCCAAATAATCCCCACATCACATCCAACAAAATCACCAGTAATTCTATATTGGCACGACCCTCTAGAGTGTATCTCCAGCATCTTCAACCACCCCTTATTTCATGATTGTATGGACTTCACCCCTCGCAAGGTGTACTCTACTGCAGAGAAGCGGTGTTGCGTATACACTGAATGGATGACAGGAAATGATGCCTGGAATATGCAGGTGTGTGACTAGTTGATTCTCGATGTCTCTAGCTCATTTATCCTTGAAGATGGCCATACCTAGAGGTGCGACCCTCCTTGGCACTATACTATCCTCTGACAAGACGAACATCACTGCCTTGACAGGTGATCGCGTTGCTCATCCGCTTCTCATAAGCCTTGCAAATATACATATGGATATACAACTGAAATCTTCATTGAGTGCTTTCGTTCTCACTGCTCTACTACCCATCCCAAAGTTTGTGCATAGGAAGAAGCGAATGAAGGGTGTATTGGAGGATCACCTCATACACCAATGTTTAGACATCGTTCTCAAACCATTGAAACAGGCAGCTCAACACGGCATCATGTTATTGGACCCCCTTGGCAACAGTCGTTATTGCTTCACTCCGCTTGCAAGCTATATCACGGACACCCCTGAAGCCATGATGCTGGCAACAGTCGGTGGCAAATCATCACCAGTGACCATGGTGATGTATAAGCAGTTTGGGGACCCCTTCCAGCATGAACCTCGGACAAAATCAACAACTCTTGCGCAGCTTTCAGTTGTGCATTCATGTGCTGATCCCCTTGATATCGAGGCCTTCTTCTGTGAAGCACAGAAGTTCCGTCTGAATGGTGTCGCTGAACCATTTTTTCGAGACTGGCCACTCGCAGAACCCTCCCATTTCTTTACGCCGGAAGACCTTCACCACATTCACAAACAATTCTGGGACCATGACACACAATGGCTCATTTGTGTTGTCGGGGGGTCTGAGATTGACTTCTGGTTTTCTGTTTTGCAGCCCATTACTGGCTATCGACACTTTCATGAAGGCATTTCAAAGATGAAACAAGTCACTGGTCGTTGTCATCATGACATTCAGTGATATATCATTGCAGTATGTGCAGACATAGCTCCTGGGGTTCTCACTGCTGTATGTGCTCTCATGCAGTTCTGTTATCATTTTCAGTTGCCACACATCGACAATGACGATCTCAGGTGCATTAAACGAGTTTCATTCAAACAAGGATTCGATTATAGCTGCAGGAGCTTGCCGAGGGAAGGGTAATAGACCCATTACCAATTGGCATATACCGAAGCTGGAGTTAATGCAGAACATCATTCCGAGCATTAGAAACTCTGGTGCTATCAGACAGTGGTCTGCGGATGTCACTGAACATGCACATGTCACCGAAATCAAAGACCCTGCAAGGGCAAGCAACAATAACAATTATGATCCTCAAATAGCACCTCGACCATGCTGAAAAGTGTCGACGCTTTGAGCTCGCTACTAGTCTTTTAGATTCAGGGCAGACTACTGAGCACCCAGAGGATCCTGACGTTGACGCTGATATTCCAATCGAACTTTCTGTGACACAGCAACTCCCACATTGTCCCATCATGAACTTTTTTGCCATCGCCAGAGTACTGCAGTACAGGGATGTGGGTTCCATTCCTCTTCCATTATGCTCTTTTGTCGTTGGTCATACTGCATTTCATCTTGCATACGACCCGTCCATCAGGAACATATCTGTTGATGAAGTTGCTGTCAAATTTTCCCTTCCTGATCTGCAACCAGCTATTGCTGATTTTCTTCAGTGTGAGGCGACTTATGGATCCCAGTACATCCATGTGATAGGTGGTCCAAGAAGGGCAGGGTATACAGCTGTCCTTCCATTTGACAGAGTTCAAATTTGGTTCAAAATTCGCTTACAAGAGACAGATTTTCATGATGCACGCACCATTAGACCAGCTCAGATGTTAAATTGTGCACCACCCAGTGACCCCTGGGTGTTGGGTCATTACGACACAGCTATTGTTCAAACTGGTGCGGGCCCTTCATGGCCTAGTAGTCGACTTTCAGGTGTGTTTTCTGTTTCATGTCAGAATACTTATCTTAACCTGAACTACCCAACCTATGTAGGCCATACTATCGCCCAGATCAGACTTATCATGTGGCCCATCGGTAAGAGTGGTACATCATGGTCATGGAAAGACCAATTTCTTAGCTATGTACAACACTTCGACATCTCACATGATCGCGAACCAATCACGCAACTTCATCTACTCAAACGTTCGAAACACTCGAATGGAATTCAAATGGGGGATGTGATTCCGGCATCTCAACTAAGGGCACCTATAAATCTTGTCCCTCGTTTTGGAGCCACTGCAGATAAGCGCCTCACTGCTTATAACAGTATGGAACATGCCACGGAGTTTTGGTTGAATGAGTATTGGGAAAAAAACACATTCTTCACCCTATCAGCATAGTATTTGAGTCGAGTTAGGACCACTTTGTGTATCTGGTTTCCATATGTATGTTGGTATTATGACCTTCGGAGTTGCATAGTAGTCTTTCATTATGCCAACTGGGTGCCACGCTAGAACAATTGACCTGGGGAAAAAGCTGTCATCCTTTTTGACAGCTCCACCCATCCATAATACAAAGGTTATGGATGAACTCACCACTTCTGAACTTAATCGCTTGATACTTCAAGAGCCTCCATTCATGAATAGGGACGAGCTCAGCCATGCCTTAGCGCTAATCTTCCAGTCATGCACCACCAAAATTCCCAAAGTGAAGGATCTCATGGTTCCATTGAGCAAGATACCACCCAGTGCTCGGCTTGATGATCTGGAAGTTTTCACTCCAGAGCCAGACAGACCTACCATGGTACGGCTATATGACATCAAAAAGTGTCAATGGAATTGGCCCCTTCCAATGACATATGAACTCAAACGCAAGCATCCAACTACAAAACAAAGTAAGCAGGGAGGGAAGAGTGGCACAGAAGACTCAGAGAAGTCAGGAGAATGGGTATTGATCGATGAAACAACCAAAACCAAGTTGGCCTCTGGGAGCCTAGATGCACCGTCGCTGGCATCTACCAGTGAAGCTAGCAAGAGCATGCTGCCATTTGCCGATGCAGAGCTATTAACTGATGAATCAGAGTCAGATGATAGGACAGATGACTTGGAGGGCTCACTTCCCTCATATGCAGTCCTGGAGGAGGGTTCACCAATGACAGAACATATTTTCACGTCATTCTTTAACATTGTTGCTATCGCCCTCCTTGCATTAAAGCCCGATCTTGCTCATCCACACAACTTATCATACACCTGGAGTGCGGCAAATTCATCACGTCCAGTACCTGGTGATGAAGTCCCATGCAAACCAGATCTCATCCTACTAGATGATGTTGAAGCCAGGTGGGATACAATCAAAGCAGTATGCGAGTTGACCTGCAGCACCTACAAACCTTCGAGTACCCTTGCAAAGACTCTCAATACTAAAGCATACCTTCTCCTGAAGCACCAACCCTGGAGACAGTTTGCATTGATGGTGTCTGTTTGCAATGGGTATCATGATCTTCGCATTCACCTGTATGACCACTCCAGTGATGTTGTAAGCCCTTGCACTAACATCAATTGAGAGCCTGACAGATACTTGTACATCTTGTCGTGCGTTGTGTTCGGTAATCTCTTGTGCATTGGATATGACACCACGATCAGCATATTTGCACATACACTTTCACAGATGCTGAGATCATGCGCTACTTTCATCCTTCACCAGAATGAAACTTCACCCCACCGTACCCAGAGCGAAAGCTCATCCCACTCCTCCCCCTCCCAGGCCAGTACCTGTACCCTCCCTCACCAGATGGACTTGGAGATGGAGACTGCTGAGGATAAATCCACCGAAGAAGATGAAGCTAACACACCTGCTAAAGAAGACAAAGACAAAGACAAAGACAAAGTTGATAAATGCTTGATCGAGCTTCCAATAGAGATCCCTAATGATCCTCTCCTTGAACCTCTGCCAGAGCCGATCAGGAAGATATGGGTCAACGACCACTATTATGATATCTTGGAAATCATTTTTTCCAGGCAGGGTCTTGTGGGGCATGGTACTGTGTGCTATCTTGCAAAGATGGATGGGCAGGATTACATCATAAAGGACTATTAGGCCATCAGGGGAAATAAAGAAGTGTTGAATGAGATGAAGATGATGGAGAAGATGAAAGGCGTCTGCGGTGTCCCCAAACTGGTTGAATATTAGCTTGTTGAGCTCATTGTAGCACTTGGATCGGTGTTGGGCTCATATCCTGCCAAACTCATAGGTATTCCACATACACACCCCTCGACACTCCTTTTACCTTCCGAGAGTTCCGAGAGTTCGTCTGAGTTGTCCGAAGGTCCTCCGTCCGTTTCTGAGGCCTGTATACACTTCCGATCCTCCGTACCATGTCCGTTTGACTTCACTGGTGCGTTTTTCACTTGGTTATCTGTTATTGATTATGTCTTAGGGGCACATATGTTGTCGGCCCGTCGAAAACCATTGGTTATACGTATAGCAGCACACCTCACGCGTTATTACATGCATATCTCTGTAGCGGCTCACCTCGAGTCTTATTACATTTCGGATGGCTTATCTTGCTACTGTCTTCGCCTATGCAGTTTCCAGACATTCACGCTGTAGGATATAATCTGCCTCACTAGCTACTCGCACTTCACTTCACTTTCCCTGCTATGAGTCATAGTCAGTAGAGTCACTTTCAGATAGTCGTACTTCGCACAATCGATCCTTCTTGTTCATTCGGAACGATTGTTTGGCTTGACCACTGCCATTTCGCATCTTGCTATCTCTTAGTTTTCCCAATAGGCTTTGCTGAGTTTTACTTTGCAAGTCTTACACTTCAACATACACTGTACTTCTACCTTGGAACCATCACTGTTCATCAGAAGCTCTTTGGACGCTTCACGCAACCTCAGACCTTCATTTCTAGATGTCAGACCACCTTCGGACCACTTCGGACGGGTACTTCAGTACTTCGGACGCATTCTCGGAACATCGAGCGTGCTCTTGGTAACTTTCCTTTCTCTCATCCTCAATCTTAACAAGATATCCCTTGCATTATATCAAGGAGTATTTCTATAGGCAGTCTCTTTGGGACGAGCATATCACTCGCACATTGAGTTCTGAAGGTAACACTTTGTAGAGCCCACACAGAACTAACTCTTTACATTGTGCCTGGCAAGGTGGATCAGACAGCAGATTATCAGTACAAGGCTTTGCGAAGCCTGCAAGGTATATTCCATACTCACATCTGTGTGGTCTTGAAGCCCCGAGCATGATGTAGGACTTGTAGTCCTTGTAGCCTCATAGAGGCTATTTTTGCAGTGTCCCTCAGGTTCAAGCGCAACATGTGTTATCACTACCACAGCGCGCATCCTCCTTATCGTCGCCCAACAGCCGCGTCTCATGCGCGCGCTTCGGTTCGCATCCACTCTTCATCGGTTCCATCGCGCATCCTTCCTCTGTCCTATCCATGTCCTCCACTTGTCCATTGGTGCGTATTTTATCTCATTCGCGTTAGACTGATTATATTTCCGAAGGTGATATTGTGTATGTTTCGTTACTTGCGTTATAGACCCTTAATATGTATTACTGTTATCTTCTCGGTTCCGAACAGCGCTACGCGCACTATCATATATACCTTAGACTTATGATTTTTCATGTATCTTCTTTTTCCCGCTATTGAAATTATCATCCATTTGCATGCATCACTCAGACTCTAAGTCTAAAAACCTTCGGCCGACTACATCGCGTGCTATATTAACAGTCGCGCTATAACGTTCCAACTTCACTCATCACACACATCAGCATACTCTTCTCCTGCTCTATAGTCGCGTCGTGTCTCTTTTGCATATCCGCTAAAGGCGCTGACACGCACCAAACTTGTTTTGTGCATGGTCATGACTACTTTTTAGCTTTGACATTCTCTGCTATACTTTACGAAATTACTAAGAATTTTCTATAACACATTATGATTTGATTTGAGTAATTTTCAGACATAACAAACCCATAATACTACATGATAATTCAATTAACACTTATCCAATTTAAAGATAAGTTCCAAACATACCACAACACATTAGTCAGCATTCTCTCACAATCTTATGATTGTTTTTTTACAATTCTTCACATTTTTCCTGTATGTTCTGAAACATATTTACGGTAGCATTCCAACATTTCAACAGTTCATGTGTGATCAATGGCTTAGTCAGATGAAATGAATTAGTAAGATGAGATGGCTTAGTCAGGAAACTGAAGGAAGAAAGTTGATAGATGGGAATATTTGAGAAGTGAACAAGTCATCATGAGACATTTCAACTATGACTCAGTATGAGTCAGGATGAGTCATATTTCCTTAAATAGATAATTACACAGCCACATTTAGAGTAGTATATAAGGGGCCCAGTTTCCCCTCTGAATAATGACAATCTCCTTTTTGAAATAAGCTTCCTTTGAGAGGACAGACATCCCCCTTTTAGAGAGAGGGAGGAGGATTTGAGTATCTTCCTGAATTTCTCACCCTACATTTGTGTGAACATCTGAGTGAATATTAGTTTATTCCCTCCATTCTTTTGTCATCATTTCCCACAACATACTGATCTTCTGAGGCCTACCTTGAGCCAATCCTTGAATTACACTAGCTGGTACACAGTTTTTTTTTTTTTTTTGTATCCATTTTTGTCCATTGAGAGTAGGGAACTCTATGTAGGACATTTCTATCTAGTCTAGGGGCCCTGTGCCCCTCCGCACTTCATGGTTTGCGAATGCCCTGGTGTGAGGCGTACCCCCACCAGTCCGCCGTTCCCGCTGGCTGTTTTAGACGCGCAACCTTGGGAAAGTGAAGTGACTATATGTGCTTGTGTAATGTAGGGTATGGTAGCGGAGTTGTTTCTATAACGCGTATTCGTGGGGGTGTGATGAATCTATGTGGGTAGGAGTAAATTAGTGTACCTGGACGGCCTGCCATTTGAGATTCTTGAGGAACGAAGTGAGTGGTTGATTAGTTGATTGTTTGATTATTTGAGGCGTAGGTGTAGGCGGATTATTAGTGAGTTGAGGTGGTTGTTCTTATGATATTAATCTAATGAGCGAGTCATCTTTCAGAAGGTTTGGGTTTTGCTAGGCGGACTTCACTGAATATGGGTGCAAGATGTTTCGTGCCATTGATGAATCTAATGAGGTGAGGGATTGCTTCTTCCGACATTAACAGGTATTGCAGGGATGTTGCTTGTCTTCCTAGGGCGACAGATAGGGTATGATGGTTTGCACGGTATTGACGACATTCGAGGAGGAAGTGGTGGACTGTTTCAGGGACTTGGGGGCAGTGAGGGCAGAACAGTGTTGGGGATTTGCCGATGCGGTGTAGGTGCTTATTGAGGGCTGTATGGCCCATACGGAGTCCAATCAGAGTTCCTGTGAGGTGTTTGGGGAACGATGATGTCAGCTTTATGAATGAATGGTCAAGCAGTGCAGGATCAAGCCTGTTCATTTGTTCGAAGCGTGGAGACTTCTCCCATATCTGTTTCCATCTCCGCTTTGTTTTGAAGTGGTGTTCTTGCTTGAGGGCCAATATGCTGAGGGGGAGGGTACTTCCACGAAGGTATTTTGGTAGTGATTCCAGTGGGCTGTTGTTTCGTCTTCCTTCTGTGGCTCTCTTGGCAGCCTTGTCCGCTTCTTCGTTACCATGGATTCCCTCATGGCCTGGGACCCATCTGAGTGTGACATCGAAGTTTGGGTGGTCTTTCGACAACTTCTGCATCATTCTCCTGAAGTGTTCACCTAGATATGAGCCTGACGTGGTGTTTGTATTCTCCCCAGACTTGAGTGCCGCTTGGTTGTCGATAGATATTGAGAGTGGGAAGGTGATGTGGTGTTCTGTTGAGATCAGTTTTGCTGCAAGGGTGAGACCTACTGTTTCCGCTTCATATACTGTATGCTCTTTGTCTGTCCCTAGATAATAACGCAGCGTTCTCAGCTGGGCTCCTGCATGAAATAGGATGGCAGCTGCACTGATCTTTCCATCTGCTCTGGAGCCGTCACTATATACCTGGATCTGGTCGGTCAGGTGAGCGTGTTCTTCCTTTGCTTCGTCACGTGTGCCAGCGATGTGTGTCTTGTAGGGACTTTTGGAGGATGGTGAGATACGTGCTGGGATGAGTGACTCGATTTGGTGCGGGATAATGGCGAATGAGCGGGTGAGGTGATGCAGTGATGATCGGTGGGAGGATATATAATGTCTGGCTGCGTGTCTAACAGGTTCGTGGAGGGGGTGTGATTTGGGATGCGCTGCTAGTTGTACAATGGCGCTGTAGCACTCGAGCTCGCACTAGGCTTGTATTCAGCTATTTTCCCATACATGTCAAACACACGAATCACTTCCAATGTTATCCGACACTCATCTGCTCAATCCAATGTTTATCTGCTAAACCCAACACTAACCCGACGAACCCGACGTTTCCCGCGCATCGGACCCGACGGACCCGATATTTTCCCGCGCACTTGTCCTCCTTATGTCCTGTCCTGTCGTATCTATCCCCACTAGGTGCGCAGTTATTCATTTTCATGTCGCTAACATTGTAGAACACATTATTACATGTCCACAGTACATCATGTCTTATTACATAGGACATCGGACCCGAAAATCAGCGCTACTACTTTCGCCTATAGCACTCCGAAATTCTACATAGACACTATATATTTCGCATACCTCCTACCTATTACTTTACCTTTCTACCTCCAAGTAGGAGGAGGTCATCCGATATTCGTAGTTCTTAGTTGGATTCCGCAATATCATCCTTTCTTTATCCGAAACATCTGACAGTAACCCGCCGTTCGCTATCCCCAACATTCGCTATATTCCCAACGCAAACCCAACGCTAACCTGACGCAACCCGACGCAAACCCGCTAACCCGAAAACATCAGACCCGACGTTTTTGACATCGGACTCGTAATTATACCTTCAGACTTTGTTTCCCATGCTTCAGACTATCTTCCTTTTGATATAACTGATTATTCTAATACCAACAGCAAGCCCCTCAGGTCGAATGCACTTGTCTTGCAAGTATAAGCAGACTAGGCTGTGCACGACCACAACATTTTTATATTGCTGGCTACTTACTTTGTGTAGTGCTCAGCAATTGTTGTATCTCTACAGCACGGTGGCAGGCATTTTGGAGGAGGAGAGTGATGGGGAGTATATTGGTGTGAGCTTCGAGGACGTCCGTCATGGTGCTTCTCATGGCTCCTGACATTGCCAGAGTGGCGATCCGCTGTATGGAGGACATCTTCCTGGCTATCCCTATGGATCCTCTCTGTAATTCGTTAGTATCCTTGGTACACGGTTATCAGTCATCTAGTTGTAGTTTCATCACATTCTCTTTACAACACAGGATACCTTTTCTGTTGGGAGAATTTACATATTTTTAACGATTAGGAGGACGACAAATAAGACTAGCACTTTATTCAACAATACTAAGAGCTTGGCTGCTTTAAGACTACATCAAGAGGGTGTACTCTGTTCTGATTCTGTGTCATACTCATCGTGAGTGCCTGAGCAGCAGAGAAGTTAGTTTCGAAGCCACATATTTCGGTTGATTTGATTGTGTTAGAGGCTTAGTTTGATCTCCTCTAATTTTTGAGAATAGGGAGTGTTTACAAGATATTACTCTGATTCATTGTGTACTGTTGTGATCCATATATTCATCTTCATATTGCACACCTTTGCAATCTTATTCTAGTAGCATTGTAGTACTGCATCAAGCCAGTTATCGATTCGGCTACACCATTTATGACCTTTATCTTTAACGTCCTAAGTACTGCATCAAGCCAGTTAACAGACTATCGACCCTCAAAGTACCTAAGCACTGCATCAAGCCAGTTAACGGTCACTGTCTCAACCCACCTAAAGTCATTAGAAGTTTGTTTAGATCGACCCAGCTATTTACGCCTCCTCCCATGAACGACCACATTATCAACCGTTGGTATTTGTCTGAACCGTTGACTGTGGAGGATAGTGAGAACTGGTGATTTTATTGCCAATCACATCCTAGTAAGACAGCACGCTTATAAACTGTCAGCTTTCCTCCACACTTTTGTGCTCGATCAAACTTTTGGTCGCTCGGTCGCACATCGTATCGCACCTTTGGCGGCTCGCTCATGCTCGTGTTGCATCAGTGCAATGTCGCACGCTCTTCCATTCTCAGTCACTCTTACCAGTTTCTAAGCTTCCCCTCCATATTTTACTTAGAGGAATTGTTCTCAGTAGCAATCCCCTTGGGCCGAATTTATACTTGCGTCCAGAGGTCTATTTGAGTTTTACCCCACTTCACCCTTTCTCCCCCTTTCACCCCTTCTCATCTAGCTATCATTCCTCACACACAACGACCTTTGCATAAATTCTGCACAAAGCACGAGTTGTTGGCCTCAATACAGGATATTGTGCAAAGTAAGTATCATATATTGTGATATACAAGCTTTTACTGACTTACCTTTAGTTCAGAAGCAAGCAGTTGAACAACGCAAGGTTCTTCACCATGATTGTAGTCTGTTCAACACCATGATCGGGGACGATGGTAGTGGTACCCATGGAATGTTGATTGATTGGGAATTCACTGTGAAGATCCTCAAGAATGAGAGCTATACTGTTGGGGGCACCATTAGTGTTTTAAATTAGTTGAGATTCAGTACTAATTATCATGTTTAAGGCACAATACCTTTTATGTCCTGAGCACTTCTCTTACAGCTCCACCTCAAGACTCTAACTGATGAGCGTGAGCTCAAGGGAGCCTCGAGTTCAAGACCATACCCACCCCCCCTGATCAAGCACTGCTACCAAGACAACCTTGAATCCATGTTCTATGTCTTCATATGGATTTGTATCGAGTTTAGGGGTCCCCTTGGTATGAAGCGTGTCCTCGACAAGAGTCACAATTGGATACCCATGAGTGGTCATCGGAGTTCAAGACATGCTGTGATAGTAAAACATCATTCTTTTTTCACGATGATTACTACATCAAGGAACTCACCGGACAGATTCATCCATACTTCAAAAACCTTATTCCCGTCGTGTTGGAATGGTACTATCTCATGAGAAATCCGAAAGATGTACATTTCAACAACGTAATCACGTTGTTGAATAAACATCTTAAAGATCTTCCCAGGAACAAGCCCTCACCTGGGCTCCTGGTTTCTACATGGTTACTCAAGGCACTGAAGGCGAAGGACCAAAAGGCTTTGAGTGTAGATGAGGGAAAGATGTCACAGTCAGTTGCTGCTAGTGAGATTGTGCCACACAACAAGAACAAGTGAATCATAGATTATCGATGGACAATGGAGGCTATGCCCAAGCCGAAGAGGAGCAGGATTGAATAGGGACTTTACCATAGTACAAATGTCATGTGACATGATATAAATCTCATTACTTCCGCAAAATGTACATGACTTGACACCATCATTACTTCATGTATGCCTGCAAGCGCTTGACTCATATCTATCAACACGTTGCATCTGACTTTACAGTGTTTCCACGCCATTGTGCACGAACAGTTGACTCATACTTCCAAATTGTGTTTGCGACAATCCTTCTCAGTTTATTTAAAGCCTTCAAGGCAAGTTTTTTTTGTTTCCCTCATACTATCTCTTGTATCAGCCCCAGTCATGCCATCTCAATGTCAGATTCAGGCTCGCAGCAGTCCTAAGAAGAAGAGAACAAAGCACAAAGCCATGGACTCTGATGGACAAAATACTTCAACAAAAAAATCGCAGGCTGAGGCTGAAGCACCTATCATATTGCAGGAGCCTCTTTGATGTTCCGGCCGTCCTGGTGCAGGAACAGGAGGTAGAGCTACTCAACTTGAAATAATTGGAGCTCTCTTGGATGCCCCAGCACGTACCAGCCAGCCCAAAGGCTCCACCTCCCTGGACTCCAGCGTTCCTACCAATCCTCTTGCTCCAGAACAACCTTGCAAGGGTCGTGGAAGCCGCACAAAGGGGTTTTTTTTTACCCTTCTAGTAATACCTTGATAGCTCTGAATTTATTAGAAGGCCCCTCCACCATGTAGCACCTCTAGCAAGCTGATAGATTCTGCACCTTCTAGACCACGAGGGAAGAAAGCTATGGTGACAAAGAATACTACCCCTCCTGCCTCGAGTGTCACAGCTCCAAACCTCCAACCAAGTTTCACACACCATGAAGCAGGCACACAGTTTGGGTTTTCTCCATTCATTATTCCTCCTGGTACAGAGCCTGACCTGCAGGCACTCAACAACCCCTACGTTGCTGCAGCTAGGGAGAAGCAGGCTCTTTCAGCAGGTTTAGATAATGCAAGACTTGTTCCTACTGCTGCTACCTTGGCAAACCAGTATCTGACGCCAGTACCTTCAAGGACCATGTTAGTTGCACATCAGTCTGATGCTAACTCGGACTTCCTTCAGAACCTAGAACCTACCCTTTGGCCAATTAGTGATGAACGCCTAGGTCACCCTGGACTGCAAGATTCAGGATCTGAAAGTTCGCAGACATCTAGCGAGGGTGGTGATGGAGACACTGACGATGAAGAGGAAGAGGAAGATCATGTAGACGATAGAGTTGGCTGGGGAGCAGCACATGGGCGCATGACTACACATCCTGGTAAGCAGTCAGCTATTGCCATTATGACACACTAAACGAGTGACAGGTTTTTCAAAGGAAGATATACCATCTCAACCCCGTGTCACCCTCACTCATCCAACCAACTTCGATTTTCAACATTTGCGCAATGAAGGTGATAATGACATGGAAAGATCGTTGGAAAATAACATCTCCAGCACTGATGATATCGCGAACAAGGTATAGTTTAGTTATTTTATTGAGAACCTACTAATTTTCTTTCCTTCTGGCAGCCTGCCGAACCCAAACCAGAGGATGTCTTACAGCATCACCACAACAAAAATGGACGCCCTTGACTTCCTGATCCTCAAGTACTCAAACTCCTATGTCACACTGAGACAAAACTTCCCAAGTCAAGCGACACAAAGGTCAAGACTGAATCAGGACAAGCAAAGGAACCAGGCGATGGACCTAAGGCCATGCAATTAGGCTGGTATGGTCCGCGGTGGAAAAGATTCCTTGAGGATACAAAGGGCGAATATTGTGCCCAACATGCGATAGAAAACCCATTCCCAAAACTCGTGAAAGATTTAACAGGTTCTGTCAATGAGGTCCTCATGGCTTCGCTTGTAGAATGGCTCGAAGAGGGTAAGTCTTTTTTCCTCTCGAGAGATTATACTCAGGTGTCTACCAGGTATTTGGCCTGATCACAAGCACGATATGGCAAAACTGGTATGTGCATTTTCTGGCACGTGTCCTTTCTAACACGCTATTATGTTAGCTGTATGAAGATTTATCAACGTGGCACTCAGAGCTCAAGAAGGTTGTTGCAGGTATCATGCCCTCCATGTACAACCTGATCCCTCCATTGCATGTCCTGCCTGAACAACGTGCTACCTGGATTGAAGAAGCTGCTAAGAAGTTGCTGGAAGATGCTATCTTTCTATGCTACGGTGTCGATCAAAATGGAAAGACTAACAATGCAGCTCATCCTGTGCTTCATGAAACTGCTATTACTTTCTTTTATACAGGATCTTACCATATTGCTCGCAGGAGACTGGATGTCTTCTGGAATGAGTTACCACTTGAATGCTTGGCACTGGTTTGCACTGCAGTATGCTTTCATGTGCTACTAATAATGCACTGACCACATTTTTATATGTTAATTGTGTCTTGGACGGCTTTGCTAGGAATGGCCATGGAAAATCATTCCCGAAGTTCAGCACCAAGGAATATGCATCTCTCTATACTGTTATGCTTGCCATGCTCAAATCAATCATGGAGGACCCTTACCACGGACTGAAACTAATGCGACAACTTCATTCCTGGGCTGAATCTGGATGGTAAGGAGCTTTTTTTTTTGAAGTATTTCATACTAATGAAGTTCTCATAGGGTGCAGTCCTACAAGATTGACGGCAGCCTGAACGACAATTTGAAGCATTCTCATTTAAAGATCATCCTTGATTGATATTTTCGAGTTCTTTTATGCTATTGCTCCACACTGATTCTATCTTGAGTGTCGTTTACTATAGTACATGATTTTCTGCTGCTATGTTTTCTATCTGATTGAATGCTATTATTTGTTTTGTCAAACCCCGTGCGCGTGTGTGAACAATTGAGCAGCCAGCAGCAGCACCACCATTATATTTTATTGGTACAAGAGCCCTTCTCTGGGTGTCTGTGAGTTGTCTGTACAGAAATTGACAGAAATTGATAGAATGAAGTAGTACTGTAGTGAGCTGTCTAGAAGGGACCAAGCTGTGTGTCTCTCATACTGTACAATTCTGTACAGAACCACACAGAACCCAGTGATTACTGATGCTATGGTCCACATCTCTCTGTTATTCTCATGCTGATGTTATACCCATTCTGGCAGGACATATATGGTGGTTTCTCATCTACATAGGGGATACAGGGAGGTGGCGCATGGGACTCAGTCTTTCTTATCCTAGCTTGTCAGCTTATCCAACAGCTGTGCTTGTGATCAAGGCTCACAGCAGCAAATCTGACTGTGCAACTCAACCCATAGATCTGCGATATGAAAACCTTTATGGCCCAAACATTATTAAAGCTGAGGAGTAGGTTTACATTTATGTGCAACCAAGGCATACTGATGATTTTACACAGTTTGCCTTGTCAATTACATGGATCCGAGTCGGTCAACATATCAGATTTGAACATACTCTATTGGCTATTGAGAGACTGGCCAATGGACAAGTAAATCCTTATTTTGTGGCTCTTTGCTTGAACTGATCTGTTGTTGCAGCAAAACTGTGTATGTAGACTGTGATGGCACCCTACATGTAACAGTGGAGATAACATTAAAATAATTGGTGAGTTATTTCCGGGAATGTCTCGCACTGTTGCTCAATCTACACTTCATCGGCATCCTCAGTGCACTCCCAGAATCTATCACTCCCACCTCAACCTGTAAATTACATCACATATATTACAATTGTACCTAGGCATTTAAATTGCTAGTATGCTGGTGATTGTCGCCGAGGACAGTAGGTATCCTGGCAATAAATACATTGAATCATCTAGTGGGTGTGGAGGTCCTCGTGGCCTTGATGTACACGTTCCTCATCCCGTCTGAGTTCACTGCTGAAGGAACAATACCCGCCTGGACCTTCTCCTCCTTCAGGGTTTTGATCAATGACAAGAAGTCTTCCACTGCCTCGGGCGATGTTTGGATATGTACTACGAGACGAGAGCCGGTAAGACCAATGGGGTTCGGCAATGCGGCCGCACGATCTATGATTTCCCAGTACTCGATGCCGATTGTGGAGGGATCATAAAAAACCTTATTTCGCGTCGCAAGTTCGTTGGAAATTTTGAGATCGAGAAAGAACCTATGGGACTTACCATGCAAGTCTCTGCGGGACTCAATATGCCGACCTGAAGCTCTTCTAAACCAGTTTGCAGGCGTTTTGCTAGAGCGTGAACCCTAGGAAGGAGAGAGAAATTATGGGTGAGTGCGTAAGCGACCGACCCAGCAAGAACACCAGTCTGTCGCATCCCTCCGCCAAAAATCTTCCGGAACCAGCGCACTTTCTGTATAAATTCCTTGGGACCGACGAGGCAAGTCCCCACAGGGGCGCCTGCAGCGAGTCAGTTTCTACTCGTAGGTACTGATGGCGATACTGACCGAGACCCTTGCTGAAGCACAAACTGACTGAGTCAAATGGTGCGCAGAGTTCATCGATCGGTGTGCGAGTTTCAGCGGCGACGTGCCACAGACGTGCACCATCAAGATGCATCAATATGCCATTCTTGAGGGCAAAATCAGCTATCTCAATTATGTCGCTCTGCGGCATGATCGTGCCATCCAGCGTGTTTTCCAGGCAAATGATTCGCGTCGGTGCGCTGATAAACATTAAAAGAATCCCAGACATGTGAAACTTCCATACCTGTGTATGTCAGTGCCGAACACTACATGAGGTTCGATATCTTTCAGAGTTAAATGGTGTCCTGTGTAGATGTTAATAATAGAGTGTGTGACCCCATAATCATGTGCATGCCATTTTTAGGTGTCAAAGCGTTCTGGAGAGCACCTGAGTGTATTGCTGCGCCACCAGCCTCGTACCTAGGGCAAGTCAGCCGCAAGGTTACGATGAATGGAGCAACAGCCTGAACTTATTGATGTGCGCTCGAATATCACAAATGATGGAATTGGGAGGCTGCTGGAGATGCGTGCGGATAGCAAGCTGGTTGCCCATGGTCCCGCTGCTTACAAAGAGAGCAGCCTCCTTCCCTGTAAGCTTAGCAATGTGTGCCTCGAGTGCAATAGTAGATGGCTCGTTGTAGACGTCATCGCCGAGTGAAGTCTGTACGGCGTACGCGAACATCTCCTTCGTGGGCACTGAATGATGTCCTGTTCATCGGATACGATTTGCAATAAAAGTGGAGAACACACCTGTGATAGTATCGGCTACCATTTCTTCAGCCAAACAAAATCCTCACTGTCTATTCGAGCTCACATATAAAACTCCTGGAAACTTCTTCCAGTTGTCTCGCATTGTCGCGCTGTTGAGTAGGAGTGATGATGTCTACTTTCACCTGCTCAATGATCGACGCCAGTTTAGGATCCATGTTGGAGAGAGGAGATTGTGGTATGCGAAAAGAGAAGTGACGGTTATGATTGTAAGAATGCCGCAAGTTGGACAGTAGTATTGTGATGCCAGGTTTGCGCAAGAATGACTCGAGTTTGGTTGCAATAACTCCGCTTGGTCAAAAACTTGTTATTATCTGCATATATATATGTCTGTCGGGACTCCGCTTACCAACACTGGTGCGAAGCCATGGCCAGTTGATGACTATGGTGATTCTAAATGAGGTACCACGATAAACGAGATAACGAAATAAGACGGCTTACGTAAAACACGTGTTCGTCCTGTGCAACGTTGTCGAGCTCCACTCGCAAAGTTATACCAGTTCCGTTTCGCTTTTCTTTCTTGACTTTCTGTACTAGTTCTCGATATCCGGTTTTTTCAGTATTTTAGCTTAATCATGGGGAACGTGGGTTATCTTCAGTTCGCAGGAATGGGTGATCTTAGTTCACTAACAAGCCTCCCAGGGCGCTAAAGCTGCACAAAAGCGTGAACGCAATGCTGGAAAAAATGCAGACAAAGGGCCTACAAGTAAGACCAAGGTTAATGAAGCGGCGAAGAACATTGTTTGCCAGACTTGCAGACAGACCTTCGTGAGTCGTTAGTCATAGATTCCGTCATTATCACTCTAATCGATTCCATCATCTCAGCTGCTTACCACCCGTGCACCAGCGTAAGTGTCCTTTTTCATCAAATGAGAACATGGGGAAAAGCGCTTTGTACTGATGGTGTACATGCATGCATTTCAGACTAGAGGAGCACGCCCAGAACAAGCACTCAAAAACACTGGCAGACTGTTTCCCGAACTTTACCAAGTAGGATGCATCCGATACATGTTTGTCTAATGTGTGGGTGAATGAATGTGCACCAATGCATTACGTTGTAGAACAGGTCGAAACTCTGAAAAAAAAAAAGTAAGCGAGGTGAGAAAGAAGAAGTCAAATGACTGACGCACATCATAACTATCCATAAATGACCTTGCACGGTAATTCTCATAGCGAGAAACTCGTTGACCCCGTGGCTTGTGCACTCGCTCCCGCGCTCTGCATTTTTTCTCCGACTTTCTTGTTAACTTCGAAAAACTTTGCCACACATCTGTCGATGCAGACACTCTCGCCCTTGTTGAGGTCTCCTTCGGCATAGCGAGGACTGATGCACTTGGAATGACATGAACTACACCACAAGTGAAATAAGTCAAGGCCACCGGAATTGTAAAAAAACTGTCACGCACGAAACAATACGGTTAAATACGTCTGAAACCATGTCAATTCTATGACCTGAGAGTTAGCTGCAACGGTTTGGGTGAAATGGGAGCCAACGCACTCGTTTATGGCCATTTCAATACGCTCATGGTTGACACCACCGGCTGGTGAGGGACCACCACGTCCAAGGAAAGACATATTAGCAAAGAACGAGAAAGCCGAGTGAAATTGAATGCGAGAAGTTTGGAGGACTCAGAAGTTTAAGTAAGTCGCGAAGATGTATAAGGAGCAAAATATGAGGCCACGTGGTTGAAAGGATGCATCCAAGAAAGGCAATGAAGAAAAATGTACGAGTCGTATATTCGAGAGCCAGACCTTGAAGGAAGACAGAGGCTTGCGCCATGTCAAGACCTCTCGCTGTCCACCGTTGTAGGTTTGTTGACTATGCGCCATCACCGATCACGGCTCTTGCATTTCCTCCGCTACCGTTGCCATCTCTCAAAGGTAAGAAACGGGAAAGGGATTTAAAAGATAAGTTCGGCACACTTGGTGTCGGCCATGCCAATGGCAACATCGACCTTCTCGAATGGACTGCAGAGGAGGGAGAAATACAGGCACCCCAAGCTTGGCAAGTGCGCAAGGTGAGGCACTCTGCGTTGTTATTTAACACAATGATTGAAGTCGCATTTAGACTCTTCCAGGCCCATGCCCATCAAAAGTAGATTCGCTAGCTTTTACTCTACGCTATCCAGACATATTTCCATCAGAAAACATACCTTTGTGCTCTGATCTTCGTCTCTTCAGCTCAGGTGGTGGGTCTGAATTGCTGGAATGGAACATATCTCACAGCTGTGTTCGCGTACGATGCTCTTACTCTGTATAGTCAGCATCAAACTCACATTGGACTGTAGAGAACCATTAGCTCCCAGGGAGGTGCCATCTGGAGCATTGCAGCCAATCCTGCCTCGACACTACTTGCCCTGGGTTGCGAAGATGGGTCTGTTCGCCTGCTATCCTTAGCTGCGGACACTTTGCAGCATCACAGGCGATTCGATCGCATAAAAAGTCGTATACTGAGCATTGCTTGGGGCCCGCCAGCACCTCGACCGCCAAAACAGCGGACGGCGAAGAAGACTGACAGTGGAATGGATAGTGAAGAAGACAGCGATGACGATGAAGACGAATGGACAGACACATGGCTCGTCACGGGTGGCTCAGATAGCAGCTTGCGGAAGTGGGATGTCGCTACTGGCAGATCGACTGACCGTATGGGGACAGACAAGATGAAAGGTGAACGGACACTTGTCTGGACAGTTGGTGTGCTTGCGTGAGTGCACGCGCAAAATACTTCAGTTTTTCAACCTAACCAATTTGACATAGCGATGGGACCATTGTTTCTGGGGATTCTCTAGGTACAGTGAAGTTCTGGGACTCCATGACTTGCACACAAACCTGCAGCTATCTGGCGCACGGAGCTGACGTGCTTTGTCTTGCAATTGGTCCCGTAAGCGTCCAACGTGATATTCTTCTGTGGCTAAACTTACCGTGTTCCAGGAAGGCACATCCGTATTCAGCTCGGGTGTCGACCAAAAAATTGTGTTGTTCTCATATGTTCCCACTGCTCCAGAAAATTCTTCTTCTGTGTTGTCCTCCTCCCCAGCGCGATGGATTCAGTCTGGCTCACGCCGTGTGCACTCACACGACGTCCGGTGTCTTGCGGTCTGGCCACCTCACTCCCCCATACCCCCAACTTACAAGCGAAAGCCCTCCGCAAATGCAACATACATCGCACCGGTCCTAGCTTCTGGAGGATTGGACATGTCTATTGCCCTCACTCCTGCGCTGCCTGC